TTGTTCTGAGTACTTTTGTCTGCAACCATAAACTCGATAGTATTGTTGCATTCAGCCAATCTTGGATATGCTCTGCAAAATGTTAATATTGTAGCAATTTAATAAGATTTCATTTAGAGACCTTCATTAACTCCCCAATTAAATTTAATCTACTTTTCAGCATGATTAGGCCTACCCTTTGACAGTATATCGGCCCTTCTTCCAAAATTCCAGTACTGGTAATAACAGAGAACCTAAGTTATCTAGTAATTCTTTAGTATTTTCCATCTATAAAGTTGTCTACACTCGCCCAAAAGTTATTTTAAATAATTATAAAATAACCATATGAGCCAAGGTAAATATTTTATCCAAATGATGATGGCCAATGCACCCACCATTCTTTATTTTTTTTATATACACTGAAGATTTTTCCTCTACAGAACACATTTTTCATGTTTCCAAACTATTTCGGTTGAGTGTATATATTTTTTGTTGTTGTTTTTTATTCTCTTGTACATAATAAATAAAACAAAATTTTTGTTCATTTAACAATCAAAAATTTTTAATGATACATTCATTATTATTATAGCGATTGGGAGTCACTCAATACCTTTGGTATTTCATAAATACCTTTGATAAAGAAAAAATAATATAATAATTAATTTAAAATTATAAATAAAGATCTGATTGTTAAAGGTGGGCGATAAAATTAATGCCATAAGAAAACACATTTTTCCCCCGCCCACCCAAAAATCTTTTAATTAATAAGTTAGTGATCACTTTTTAAAGATATTATTATTAATGATAACTTCATCTTTTATTTTAATGTCAAATTTTTTGTCTATATATATATATATATAAATCAAAATATTTATCATATTTTGTTATCTTTGTTCATTTACATTATATAAGACTTAATATTATATTCATAAATCTTCTTGTTAATATTCTGACCTACATTCTAGTTTTATTCTTTTCTTATATTATTTCAATCATTGTAATCAAATAAATACTGTTCTTATTACTGTATTTCTTTTTTAGAGTATTCCTGTTCACATCGTTCTTATAATCTAGTTGGTCCTTTACCGAATATATCCTTGATATGCTGAGGATCGCCACCGACCCAAAGACTTTATCTGATGATCAGCAAGACCCCTCTGTGCTGCTAAGGTTGTGCCACCTATTCTAAAACCATGACCTCTAAATCTTTTTTGATCCAATTTTGACAAAGCAAGGCATTTATCAAGTACTGAATGAAATTGATTTCTTGTAACCGATGAACCATTTTTATGTATGAAGAATATGTGGAACAAATTGGTCGCAATTGAATATAAGTTTTCAAAGTTTTTACTGGGCAGATATTCAGTTGTTGTCTGATTGCTATTTTGTTGTTGGAAATCCCGTCGGAAATGTTTAAATGAGTCCAGTTTGATTCTAATGATGTTGTTCGGCGCGTCATACGATACATTTTCTTGTTTTAGCGTATGTATCGAGGGTTTTGCCGTGATTTCCCCAATTCTGAATAATCCATAGAATGCTGTCAAAAACATTGTTTTGTATAAATGAGCTTCATATTGATTTCTACAGAGAATGTCTACATTTTTCAATAAAGTGTGTAATATCGGAAGTGTTATTGGTGATTTTTTGTTCTTTAAAGTTTTGTTCTTTAAACCCAGGATGGTTTGTTCAACTATGTAAGTTAACGTTGGATTTGGCATGTTATGCATTTTATATTTATAGCTTAGCGCCCCAAGAAATGTTTTTATAGATGAATGAGAATACTTTCTGCTTAAATATTGTACCCATAAGGCTGTGACTAATGGATCCGTGGGAAATGCCTGTATCCCGGTCGTCTCATAAAATTGTCGAAGAAGCGGTTCAATTTTTAAGTAGGTTTTCTTTGTGTTATTCGCGAGAGCAGAATCCAAAGTATTTGTTAATTCCGAAGTAAGTTCAGCGGTTGCCATATGCACTAGTGACGGCGTTTTCAAAGCCAAAGGAGCTGCCATTTGAAAAGCCTGCAAATCAAGACGAGATAGCGAGTTAGCTGCACTGTTATATATACCCGAAATATGTACAGATTTATATAAAATGTTATGCTGTAAACATGTTAGAGTTAGTTGACGCAGTAGTTTCAATATCGTGGTCTTCTTGCTTCCATGATTGATCTGGAGTTTCTATCAAAAGCTTCCTGATGAATCCTTGATGAGGTGGAGGTATGGAGGGAGGTCGACTCATGGCCTGAAAAAATGTTAGTATTCTATGGGTGTCAGTGACTGATACGGGCATGAAGCGTCATGCACTTTAGGTAATATTCATTGATGCCCATGCACCTTATTCCCACAATCACGTAAAATACTGACACGAAATCTTAAATAAACAAGGCGTATCTCATATGTATTGATCAAGGAGTATATACAGTAAGGTTTATGCCCATGCATATCCATTCATACTTACGGTATATAGGTGCAGAGAAAATAATAGCACCTCGATTAGATCGCCATAATTTCTTTGTTCCTTTGTCATTCAAATATGTTCCGTCACTCCTCAAACATTCCCTCCAGCAGTCATTTATTCTCTGATGGGTCCAAAAATACACACCTCCAAGATCATCTACAGTAGATTGTATGCTGTCCAAAAATACCTCCAAGATCATCTACAGTAGATTGTATGCTGTCATTTATTTGCCACACTTGATCGTTATAGTCGTTTTCCTGTTGGCTGTTGCATATAAATCGGCTTGTGTTTGAAGCCGCATGACGTAATAATTGTCCCCAATATATTCGCATGTTTCGATGACGTTGTTTTATTGTTAGTATGAGAAGTATAATATTGTCTCGAACTTGTTTTGGTGAAGAGAAAATTTTTATGTCATTGCCTCCTAATTGAAAATAAATGAAGTCTTTTCCTTCTAACGCCTCCCAAAAGTATGGGTCATTACATATTGTATGGATGGTAGCCCCTCCCTTAGCATAATATGAAATTCTTGGGCCCCGCAGATTGAAAAATTAATTTGTTGTCCATTGCAAGTCTCTAATAATACTGCTGCCTACTATCAAAATATTGCGTCTATCCATGAGCTGTAATAAAGGTAATATGTCTGTGGAGGGTGGACTTTTAGTTATTTAATCTGTTATGTTACCATTATTCTATATGATTTATTAAGTATACTGGCGTATAAATTTATATTTTATTCATTTATACTTGCTTAGTATAATTATATCTTCTTTAAATTAAACTTAAATATGAAAACGTTATATATAGAAAACGTCACCTTACCTTTTCTTGTTGGACTTTGTTTAATATCCAATATACCTTTTGTTATGTCCGCTTTGTCCACCCTCCTTTTATACTTTACCGCCAAATGTTACGTCTGTGCTTTGTCTATTGATATCACGTGACTTCATGTTCGTGTTTTCCCTATGCAGTAGCCGGAACATGTATGCATCGTCGTCTTCATTGTTCAAATTGACACACAAGATAGTACGAGTGACCCCCATGACCGTATATGTACAGTTCATAAATAAGATTATAATTTCATGATAATCTTTTATATATTGCTACAAAACAGACCTAGTTTTTCTCTAGATGCAAGAAATGTATGTTATGACCTAAATTGAGTCGCATTAACAAGCCCATTCAAGGCAGACTGACATTTTTAAAAGCAAATAGTATCATGTTTTAGAGATGTTTATGCTTTACTCTTACTAAGTGAATAGTGCCAAATATCAGTATTCATCTTATTATTTAGGACTGAGATCGAGTTATATTCTTACGGGATTAGATAATTATTCTAACATTCAAGTTATGTGTACATACAACAATGTATTTCACATGCAATGTGCTATTTTTGCCTTTTCTTCATTCATGAACTATCATTAATTCTGTTACGTATATCAAAAATAATTTAATCCAAGTTGACAAGAATTTGAGATTTGAATGTTATTGTTCAAATAGAGTGTGTATCCTATGTTACATTGTAATTTACATTTAATAAAATTCATGGCTGGCACCAGTGGGGCCCCTTTAGTCTTTCTGTTCAAAATATTTCTCCTCAATCCAGACCAATGGGTCCCAATACAGTTTACTGTTTTAATAATTCAGTTTAGTTGTACTTCCTTCATATTCATTTTCATTTTAAGTTGATTTGACACTTTGAAAAATTTGCACTTAAACAATGGACATACAGTTGCCACTCATTCCACTTGTTACGCTTCTGTATTTTTACCACTAGTCGCTTCATTTTATTCTTATAAGGAAATAAATTTATTTAGATTATGTATCATGTTTTAACCCAGTCAAAGCAGGAATGATAATGAGCATTGCAATAAATTCTGTATCTTCTGTTATATTGTAATGAATAAAATTCATAATCAACACCAAATTCATTGATAAGTTATTTTCTGGGGTACTTCTGTAATTGATTTTATTGCAGTATAAACTGACATCTATGGTTATGAAGAAGTGTATATATGTATATGTACACAAAATATGACAAGACGTTAATGATAACCAATTTTGCGATTAAGCACTCCACTAATGTAAACCTACATGTAAGGACACATTTTGCTTTTTAATTACATATCTTAATTAATAAATAAACATGTATAAAAGCAACTTTTAGGCACCAATTCAACTTGTCTACATATGATGAGAAAGTCATTAAAAGTGTACAGCAATAAGCTTTCACATAAAAAAACTACAAAGATACGCTCCACTGTATTTCCAGTGTATTATCAATACATTTTCCTTTGGCAAATGATTTAAATCTACACAAAGTTTTTGAAAAGTTTCAAAATGGGACATGAACACGTAAAAATGATTGTGGTAGGGGCAGCATTTAAATTAGCACGAATAACAAGTAAGCAACATATTTTCCTGTAAGGGGCAGAAAGAATGCAACACAAACAAGTTTTGATTTGCGTTCTAAGGTTGGTTGAGACATTAGTCCACTCAGCAGTAATAAAACTGACACACCTACCTTCAGCCTATAATAATAGGCAAATTTTAAACTTAGTTACTTGTTTAATATGCACCTTTATTTCAGGATGTAATATTAAGATTTGTTTATCAAAATGTCCCATTTTTAAAGTGGTTTGTCAGCTTGTTTCAAAAACTAATTGCAATGTAATATATGGCGTAAAATCTTTAAAAGGTGAAAAAGCCTATATATACAAATTGTTGGGTTTTTTTTCAATAAAAAAAACTTGACATTTATACCAGTAAATGCTTCTCTTCCATTTAAATTCTGCATCATGTATTTCATACACACTGTGTTTTAATGTTTAAATTTGATAAAATATTGCCTTCCATACCTGTCAATTTTAATATAATTTTACAAGTGTTCTCATAAAAAGCCACCAGGGTTCATCATATCATACTCAATGAAAATCATTCAATCTCACACACACAAGCTGTAAGTACAATCTGAGATTCAATACATCTAAAACATAGCTCCAGTTCAAAACTGAGAACAGGACTCGCATGTACACATCCCAATTAACAAAGCACCAACAATGTTCATTGTCTGTTTCAGACCAATCCTATAAACCATAATGTAATCTCTACTCAATTTTTGTTAACTAAAAACCATAATAATACCAATTATTACCAGCCAATACAAATTTAGACTCTTTGATGACCAAGCATTATAAACCACGTAAATGCAGGATAACTGACAGTCTGATTGTCAGTCAAAATGACAGTTTAGACAATTGTTTGTAGAAGGGACCATTTATCATAACCATGGCACTGTCAGTCAAATGTTGTTTTCCTATCTGGTTTCTTGGGAGGATTAGGAGGGACTTCTTGCTGTGATGAATCTAGTGGTAAGGGAGGCTGAGGCTGGAAAAAAGAAGCACCAGAAAATGACAATCCCTTATACATTTTACAGAATACACATACTCTTCTGTCAAAATTTATTTGCTATAAAAACATGTGAAAGTCTTGCACAAGGTGATTGTCTTGTTTAACACAGGCAGGCATAGTTTTCATTTCATTATTCAAAGCATTTTACACTAAAACTGAAAATCCTCAACCACAAATACTAAAATCTGCTCTTACTTTGTCCTTGTGAGATGCTCTCATGGTGCCACTCTTCCTGACTGGTAGTGGAGGGGCATCCTCATCTATGTTTCCATAGTCTGCATATGCCTGCTTCTCTGGAAGTGGCGGAGGCTCCTCAGAATCCCCGGAATTTGTGAAATTTGACTGTAGAACCGAGTTGACCATGCTGGCAAGAGAAGCAGATGAACCAGTATCTGAAGGAAATGACAAATATTAAAATGTATATCACAGACATTTTCAGTTTTAAAGGCACTGATGTTCATTATAAGGATAAATGTTCCTTAAAAATGGCCTGCTGAGTATTAGGTCAAATTAAAATTAAATATGATTTTGGTGTTAGAGTGGCCAGACTGAAAACAAAGATGGACTGATTAGGTTGAAGAGAGTGTGATGAAGCAGTACTGACCTGAAACCACTGATAGAGGCTTCCCATTTAGCTTGATGTGTCCACTGTTGGGGCGAAGGGGTCTCTTTGGGGTCAACTTCATAGAATGAAAATGAAATAAAAGATTTTGTTAACATTTACCATGAAAATTTTTCATTCATTTTTTTTGTCACCTTCTGTTGAAAAATATTCATTGGCTATTTATTTAACAATTCGAGAAAATATTTCTGGTTATTTTGCTATAGGCTGACCTATAAACAAGACTAAGTTACCTGTTCATTTAACTCGATCACCATGCTCCCTGTGCTGCTCTCTGAAGTATCACTAGAGGTTGTGTTCCTTTTACTAGTGGCAATCATGTTCTTCACTTTGCCCGGGGTCTGCATCTTGGTGGGGGACCCTGATCTGACAGTACCCACAGTAGAATGACTGCGGTTGGGAGAGCCACGGTGAGGGTTTGGTGAAATCGTCCTAAAATGGCACAAAAAAAGGTTACATTGTCTTCGTAAAGTATTTTTTTCACAGTGGATGTGAGAACAAAAAAGGCTAAGCTGTTAGTAATTTGTAAATGTAAGATAATTAGCAAAAATATTTCAAAGTAGCAAGAGGAAGCACTGAATGTACCAAACACTTTCAAGTATTGAATGAAAATGTTAATACGAAATGCATTATTGAATATGTCAGTTATTGATTACTGTTAAATAATCATTACTAATGGTTAAACGTTAAATAATCATCACTAGTGGTTAAACCTATGTGGAAGGTACTGGTATTACCACAAACCACCTTGAAAAAAATTAATAAGCTGACATCATACAGACCTTAGCAGCTTAAGAAGGGATTTTAGCAGTTGTAAAAGGAAAACAAGAAATGCAGGAGAGCAAGAAAAAAGAAACTGATTACCAACACGAGAGAGTAAAAGCAATAGCAGCACTTTGTTTTATCTTTTCATCTAAAGTGGGCTCTGCTTAGAAAGGAGATGCAAATTTTTGATACTAACTGTTGTTAGTCATATCAATTGCAAAACAAGCAAATGCAAGATACGTCTAAATGAATAATAAAAGCAAACGGCAAAATAATTAGAGCATTAAGGTTGGATGCTGGCACTTCATACCTGTGATGTCTGTGCTTAGCTGGGCTCCTTTTTCTAGCAGCATGATAATGATTGAAAGTGAGTGAACAACTTCGTGCAGCACAAGACCCCTTTCCTTCATTTAAACATTTGCCACACCCCATGAACCATGGAGCCCATTATAATTTTCCCACTCAACCATTCATCTTATATTTATTTTAAAAATTACGCATACATGAAATTCAACCATTCACTAGATTGTTCAAGTTTTGTTAAAAATTAATCAAACTGAAGCCAACTGCCAAAGGGCATGCTTTACAGATTGAAGGATTTAAATCTGGATCTTAATCTGCAAAGCCTGTACATACTCTGGTATATCCAGGGTAATTCGTGTTGGGGACTGTGGTGGCAATGTCTGGATTCTCTTCACCTTCACCTTGTTCAGCTTCAGGTCTTTTACCTAGAATTTCACAAAAAAGACTTATTACCAAAAAAATAATAAACAAAGAAATGGTCAAATTATATCTCCAATTCATATGTGAATAACACTATGCTAAGAACACCATAGATCGCCTTTCTATTCAAAGTCTGTCATGAAAATAAAGGTAAAACGCACTTTACAATTACCATACAAAACAGATCAGCGCAGAGCAGAGCAGATATTCACAAAATCAACTTTGACCAAACTCATCAATACAGTATATCCCACAATTGTGATGTTACATTTACCAACACACTTCCTTCTGCCAACCAATACTGTTTTAAGCAACTAGCTATTTTCTCTCTTACTTTTATACCAAGCTCCTTTTCAATTAGATCCTTCATCTGTGTGAACCTCATCTCCAGATGAGCATGGAAAGGTTTCAGAGTATCAGGGGCCTTTCTGCCATGCACTGTAATGGCAGTTTCCAGTAATGCTACCTGTAAATAAATAAAGGAAATATAACAATATTCAGACTTCAAACATTTGAATTGGCATCTCTTAGTATCCAAAAATATACAAATATATACCTCTCAATATTCACTATAAATTTCAAATATACAAAACGTATGTCAGTGGGGTTTCTGTCCAATTTTAGGAAAAAGACAATATCAGTTAATTTATACTTACCTGCTGAGTTGTGGCCTCTTTCAGTTTTGATACTAACTCAAATGTTTTCTTTTGAGGATACTTCTGTAAGTACTCTTCTGAATAGAAAATCTAAAAGGAATCATAAATATGTGAATTGACCGAAAATACACCAGAGGACAGTCAATGTGTCATTTAAAACATTATATACTACTGCATACTTCATACAATCTCTTTAATTGGCTTGCCTGATAATCAAACACTTCAATTTCTTAAGTGGCCTATTTGTTGCCTCTCATTAAAAAACTGTTATGATCACAACTTGAATATATAATTGCCAAAAAATCACTTTTGCTTATTAGACTCACCTTGTATCGAGTGATTCCTCCATTGACTGCAGGGTCCACCACTCCGTTGATGACCATACTAAGGGGGTCAATACGGAGCTTGGGGTCATTGGAAGACATGTGCTGCTCTGTCAGATCCTCTATTTTAGCGTTGGCTGTCTCAACTGTCTCGATGGCATTCTCCAATGGACTGACTTCAAACTTAAGGAGAAATTACATTTTAATAAACCATTTGAAAGCCATGATTGATTTTCCTCATTCTCCAGAGAAGTTGATAAAATGGTAATCTAATAGAAAAAAGGATTTACGTAACATTACTTCAATATGTCAATGCTTATGAGACTGACATTCAGTGGTAAAATTGACTTAAGTTTTTAAAAGAGACACTAAGGCGAACTTAACCAAAATCTCATTGCCTTTAATCTAAATCACATGCTCTTACCACATAGGTGGACGCCACTGGAAACCACCTGAGGATTCCTGGCAGAGGGTAGGATGTCACCAGATTGGTTCTTTCTAGCCACATACTCTGAAATAAGGTTTAAAATTGATTTTGAATTTCTGATTATAAGATTTCAATGGTAAAAAATTCAATGACAAAATTTTTAGCTCACCCTTTTTGATTATTAATTAAAACCACAGACAGCATAGATTACAAGAAACAACTTGTGGCACTTCAAAAAATGGACTTTACCAAGATACTGTATCAAAATCCACATACCGTAAACTCATTGGTGCCATCTTCAGCAGCCATTCTTCTAGAGTAAGTAAACTTTTGCACTTCATTAACCTTGTAATATCTGAAACAAAGACAGTATACTATAGTATATATATATAAATCTATTGAATGTTTTTGTGAATGTCAAAAAAGGAGCAAAAGTAAGTGTCCAGTACTACTTTATTTTTATCAAGTAATAGGACATTGGTTCCTTTCCTTCTCTTTCGAACCAAAGAAAATTAATTTAATTTCTATTCAAAAGATCTGTTAGGTCTAGTATAACTACTGCAGACTTACCTGAGAATCTGTTCACTGACTGATTTACCCTGGAATCTTCTCTTGGGTTCCAAAATTGGAGTGACAGCATTTATTTGTAAATCTTCAATCCAGTTAAAGAAACATGATCCCAAGTTGTGCATTACCCTGACAAGGACTGCTTGTACAGCTTTGTCCGTATTTCTCTCTCATTACACTTATGAGCATAACAGATGTGTGTGCGTGCATGCTTGTGCATGTGTGTGTGTGTGTGTGTGTGTGTGTGTGTGTGTGTGTGTTACAATAGACCCCAAGATCTGATTACTTCTACTTACCATAAATATATACATTCTTATGATTAATATAACCATTTTAAAGGATACATTGACTATCAGATTCAAGGATATCTTCCCCAGGTGGTGTCAACGTTTTCATCAGCTGAAAAAGAGTAAACAAGCAGTCCATGATTCATTGCATAATATAATTGTATAACTTATTAAAATGATAATTAAAATGATATCATTTAAGCATGAAATTGCACTTAAATGAATGTACTGTATTAGATACTGAAAAATATGAAGTACATCATTACCTGTGCATTAGGGAACTGGTTTTGTAACCTTGTAGTAAAGTCAGACAACCTTTCATATTCTTTTCCACGATAAATAAACACTTTGTTCTGAAAATCAGAAGAAAATCATTTTGTAAGTTAAAAAGTAATAACAAACAAAGACAGATTTCTTTGCACTTGTAAAAACCAAAACTTAGAATATGATTCATAACAAATATCCTATATTGCCACTGACATTACTTATAAGTGTATAACCTACAAATGATAACCAGAATAGAGTGGTTACCTGCAGGAAAGAAGGGAATCCTTTGCCATAAAAGCCAACACGGAAGTATTCAGGTTCTGGGCGCATCTGATTCATTATGAAGGTGTAAAACTCTGCTTCCTGTCCCTGAAACAATTTGGCAGATGGATTTACTACAAGTTACAGCCACCATAAACAATAAAAAAATTAAAGTTATGTTTAGAGTTAACTTACAGTTACATCATTTGTATCTCCTCCACATGAGTGCACTAATGAAGTAACTCGACAAACACAATATATAGATTGATTGATATTTTGCCAGTTTAGGCCACTTTTATTAATGTCAAACTAAAATGAGAATTAATACAAAACTTTCTGTAACTCAGTGGCTGTGAGATAAATCTGTAAATCTGCAACTGATTGCCAAGAGTACTGAAATATGATGTGGCCAAACTGTAATGATAATAAGTTAGGAATAAAAGAATTTTGTGGGGTTGCTGAAAGGTCTCACTTTCCTCAGTGTACCTGCAGTCTTTATGTAACCACAGTTCAAGATTTTAATATCACCTGTCAGCTGGCCATTGATAGAAGGCCTGGATAACATTGAAAAGAGGTCTTACCAGTATTTTAGCCAACTGTATATAGTCAAATGTTTCATTTTCACACTGTTTGGCCAATTCTTTGCAAAGCTCAATGCCTTTCTCCCACATCTGAAATTGGTGATATTTCTTTTGTGAATAACATGTATATCACTAAGTCTTAATATGCTAATTGTAATAACTGTTCAGTGCAGCCATTTCTCAACAACTTTGATTACTGCCCTGATAACCATGCACTGAAACAAAACTTTGTGTAAAGTAAATCAGCAAAGTGCCCTCCAGAAACACATGTAAAAGTAGGAATATTTCACATTTAATTCCAGCTAAACAAGTCAGTCTTTCTGACATTTTTGTATTTGAAGTTGTCGACCAAATATTTGTTAAATTCAATGTACAACCAACCTTTCCTTTGTCAAAATAATGAATGACATCATAGTAAAGTTTCTCTTTCAGTGCCCTGTTGGTCTGAGCATCTGAATGCTTGGCATCCTGAAGCATGTTGGGAAGGGGGTCATCTGACCACTGGAATTAAATATTATTCTGGTAATGAAGGTAATCAACAACCAAAACAATCCAGTTTGTGTATATACAGTATCAATTTTATGGCTGCCTTCAAACATCAAACTCAGTTATGCATTTAAGAAACAACAATAAGAGACACTAACTGTCTAACATACACACATACACATTAACTCATACTGTTCCAAGAGATGCTTTGCAGAGTTCTTTTAACTCTTCCAATCAAATATTACCCAGTATACATGCAGCAAAATTTTAACATGACACAATAAACACAAACAGTAAACAATACCATACACAAAAACACTGACCAAGTGCAAATGAAGGTTTGAATCAATTCAAGCAAAATATACTGAAAATCTTTCATGTAAAATACTTTTAAAAACAGTTCTACAGAAACCTTTTCTCTAACACCAAACAATACCTTTTTTGTTTGTGAAGCTGAATGGGTGCACCAACTTTAAAAAAACAGAATACATTGACAAGGGCATGTGAGGTAAATTGGGTGTAAAAAGTCATGCAGTCAATTTAACAATACAACCAAAAGTTTTAAGCACTGGTTGCAAGCAATGACATCATGCACATGTTCAGAATAAACATTGAAATCTGTGGATGATAACAAATACCATCCATTTTTCAACCTAATTTGTAATGTATTTATTTTCACTTATACAGCTTGAGGTTTTGCTCCCTTTGAGACATCATTTCTCTTAGCAAGTGTTCATAGTTGTCAGTATGGAAAACTGTCAGCACAAAGAAGACATATTATGCAAATTTCACAAAATACAAAAATTGCACATTTTTGCATCCAAATAACATCTCAAAGAAAAGTAAACAGTACTACTAACCGTAAGTAACATTGAATACAGCAGCAGTGTATAAGCTGCCTCTGTATAGTTGTCACATTCTAGATGGAGGTCACACAGCTTGTGTAGGTAACGAATGTACATCTCTTGTCGGTTTATGTCATGGTAGAAATTCTAAATTGCAAATGGAAATAAAGGAAAAAATGTAATTATGTTTCCATTTTACTGACCAAAAAGAGATACTTAAAAATTGCTCAGGCTGATGAGAAATAAAGCCTTCCATGATCATGTTAATAACTTTGATCGTGTAATGTTTAAGGATAAAGAGAACCCTGATAAAACTGTTATTCTGCTTTTGCATCATAACTTTGGACAGAAATAAATGGTCTTTAGATCCAACATCAGATGGAAGAGTTGATTACCTACCAGCAGATTTACAATACAACTCATTCTGTTTTCCTTGTTTTCATCATGAATTATAGTCCTGTATTCCAGCAGTCTCTGCATCAGCTTCTGAACTGTTTCCACAAATGCTGTCCCCATTTCTTTCATGTATGAATGGCCATCACAAAGTCCATACATTCTAGAAAATAAGACATGGAAATAAAAACATCCTTCTCTCTTGCTTCATATAAGAAAGAATGACAGAGCTAGAAAAAGTGAATGCATTGGTATATAATCTACTGAATCAGATAGCATTAAAATATATACACATGTACAGTTGAATAAAGAAAATAAACTTGTACCAAAGTGTACAAAGATTCATGCCCTCAAAATAAACTAATAAGTACTCACATCTGAAAGAAAAGGTCCCTGTATTGTTCATCCCCTCTACCACCTTCCACCAGGGCATCTAGTTGTGTGATCATCTCATTTTCCACCTAAATTAAAAACACAGCCCCATAATAAGACAACTGACAAACAACAACGAAAACTTTTAAGATAAGATATAATTTGTTTCTATAATTTTAAGTTGAAGAATGACCAGAAAATCTTGTTAAACCTCCAAATAACTGAATCTTGACATTCTGTGCTCACCAACACAAAGCTCCCTTTGATCCTTCCACTGGGCTGAGTGTGCATGAACTCACAGAGCATCATGTCAAAGAAGATAGGAATGGTAGCCTTTCGCAGCTCTAAAAACAAACAATAAAGCAGATTCATCCAACATGGCAATACAATACAGGCACAGTTAAGGAACAAGAGTGCAAATTCAAAGTGCTTGTGATACATTAATCTTACAGAATGAGTACATGTTGATGCTTACAAGCCCTGTGATTTGAAAATTCTTGTAATTGTCTTACGTATTAATATGCACCATACAGAAATTAAATTGGTGCAAATCATTTCAAAATTGACAAACAATACAATACATGGAAAGCTAATATTATTCAATTTGTGTGCACTATGTGTACTATGTTGATGTTTTCTGTTCCCTACCCGTTTCTGGAATGAGTGTCATTTCTAATATTGGTCCCACCATTTCTGGAATGAATCTTATCTTGTATTGGCCTGAAAGAAAATAAGTCAAATTTTACATAGGACTGACTGTCAGTGTGTCAATGTATTAAGCAAGTATCAAACTATAAAAAATATAGAAAAATAAAATCATTCAGGTTCAGATACCAAATCTTACCTAAATTAAACCACATAGATCTTATCTCAAACCCTGTCTCTCTTCTCATGTCTTTGTATCTAAAACAAAATAAATTGAAAATTTCATCAAAATTAAATAAATCATCAATAACAAACTCTCAGTGGTATGACATGCACAAACTTAACAGTTATGATTTGGGTACACTTTGTCAACCTTCCAATTGATATTTTGTTTATAGTGAAGAATATTTATTGTATCACCAAATTTTCTAAATATCTGCAGAATTACTGACCACACTGTAAAAGAAAGATTTTGAAATATTGACTGTAAAAAAATATCTATAGTTTGTTCAGAAAGCCTGCACTTATATCTGAAAGGCGCATTTCCAAACATGACTTCACTTTCAATGATGAAACTTAGCTTTTCACCAGAGATGAAATGAAAGGTTCTTGTGAAAGTGGTATAAAAATGTAATTTGGTGTTTGCAGAAAAGTAAGGTCATGACTCGTTAGTGCTGTGAGATTGCTAAAAACTTCAGAAATATCAAATGAACCATCTTTGCCTGCTTTTAATTCCATGAACTGTCCCTAAATCTATTTAATAATTTTACCTGCTGATAATTTTGTTCCTTTTAGCTGTGGAGAAGTTTTCAAGCTGTAGAGGTTCTTGTGTAAGAAATGAGATTGCACAATGGAAAAAGTTATTCCAAAGCTGTAAAAAAAAAAAAAAAAAAAATTATCTCATTTACTAAGCAAGATTAAAGTTTTCAAAAAATCATTTACAATCATTATAAAACTTAAAATAAAACTTACATTTTCAGGTTAATGGGCATATATGGCACTGACCTGATATTCAAAAGGGCTGGAAAACCTATCCCTGATGGTATGAGAGAAGTGCCTGAGAGCTTTGAGGAAGACACTAGAAATAAAAAAGAATAATAAAATGAAATTATTTCATTTCAAAATATTTATTTAATACCACATGATTATTGCACACATAATTCTGATGATGAAATTAATTAGTAGAAAAGATCAATGCTAAAATCTATTTTTGCTACATCCCACCTGTTCTGCATCATGATCATCTCATTCCAGTCACTGGGGTAGACATTTTTGCTGACCAGATCCCTGAATACCATGAGAATCTCCATGAGGAAGTCTGTGAGGTCGATCAGAGTAGGAAAATGGTTGATGTACTGAACATAGTGATGCTCTGTCATCTGTCTAAGCATGGCTGTCATCAAAGCTACATAATTACCCTGGAATATAGAGAGGAAAAAATTCAATATAATAAAACCTAAAGCAGGGGATAAATGTCAAATGTAAAATAGTAAAATTTAAAAAGAATTTTTTCAACAAAACCTGTCCATGTTTATACCAATTCAATGTAACTAAAAAAGACCAAATGCACCCTGATTTACCTTAAGGGAAAGAAAGTAATTTTGCTAAGAGTAATATTCTTCTACCAAAAAACAGTTCATAGGAGTGAAGATAAAGCACAACTATTTACTTGAAAACAGATGGTCCGTGAAAAAGGGTTCAAATTGTATCAAAACTAGAAACATAATTACAAAATACTTACAATACAAGGTCTCTCCCTTGGCATGGTAATAACAGTCTGTATCACAGTCCGGAGTATAGCCATCACTATCATGGAAAGGTCATCATGAACTGGGCCCTGGGATTGGTCAAAGGTGATATACGCAAATCACAAAATTGTTTATAATTTTTCTGATTATTAGGCACAAAACATAAGTAGCATAAATACAATATATAACATTATTACATATCTAAAGCTTTTCACTTTGGCATGTAGGTTTGGTCTAAAAGTGTATTTTAATGTTTTCTTTTTTAATCCCATTCCACTGAAAACTTGATATCTAAACTAATCAGTTCTAAATCACAACAACAAAACAGTTGTCAGTCAATTGATACTTGGTTAGTCAACCATAACTTGTAGCTTCAAAATGGAAACAATCTCCATCATTCAACAATAAGGAGAGCAACAGAATCAACTGTTGTATGATCTGTACCACTTCATGGCTGGTCAACAGCTCCATGAGGTCTCCCAGAATCTTGACCACCTCCTCCAGTTCCTCCCCACTCTCCAGTAGAGTCTTTGTGTGAGCCAGCACCATAGGCAGGAGAATGTAGCGGCAATCTGTACAGTGAAACAATAGCACTTGACCTCAATTCTCTATGATAGACAGCAAAGCATAGCCATGTGATTCCCTAATTTTGAAAATGTTAAGTCTAGCAGCAAGGACACTGATCTCCCTTAGGTTTGTCATTACTGAATCTAAATTTTTAAAATTGATGGAATTTGCTATCAGGCAATGCAAAAGAGATGAAAAATGGAGGACTAAACACTCTTGTTTCAGGCTTTCTTCAAGTGCATAAGGTAAATTGTATTGCATAACAGCTGAAAGTTTGTCAAAAAATAACTGTTATCTACATTGTGGTTTATTTTGGTCTCACCTGGGAACATAAATAACCGACTGTGAACAATGGCAAGAATACACTTGATCTTCTCCTTTGTCAGTCTTTCCTTTGGGACATTGTTTATGAATTCCACCAACAAATGACTAAAAAAGAAAAATATGGAAAAATCTTTAATCAGAACTTGATCTAAGATTCAATTTGTATGGTACAGACCAACAGTCAAAATATTTTAGCTATGTCATCATTATCAATCAATCAATCATCTTAAACTATATTTATAAATTTAGATGCTAATGTTATAATACTAAATTCACCCCCCCCCCCATAGTAGTCCCTTTCAGCCACTATGCAGCTAACAGAATCTCGTGTTCCATCTCTTACCTTAGTTCCTGTGAATCAAACACCTTAATAACATCAAATATTGCTGTAGGAAGGTACCTCAAAGCTGCACCCTAAAAAATATTAAATAAATTTTTCTATAAAAAATACTGTCATTGCCCCAACTTCAAACTTTATTTAGAAACATCTACAAAAGTGTTAGCGCAATTTTTCCCAAAGGTAACCTACCTGAACCAGAACTGTGTTGTCAGCTGTATTCTTCATTAGGTGGTTGATAGACTGGAGGAGCTGCTTCAGAGATACTTCAAACTGCTGGTTGCCACGATTCTCATTCAAACTGCAAGAAAGACACAAATCTGTAAGTTAATAATGAGCATTTCCCACTTGAATTGTTACATTCTTATCACATCTCATTTAATAAGCTGAATTTATCAAATTACCACCACCACCACCACTTCCCAAACTTACCATTATTAGTTTCACTTCATCTTTATCATTATTCCTTTCAGTTGACAACATTTTTTTAAATAATATTACTAAACATTAATCACATATATTACAAAAACGATACCTTCATTTTTTCTAAAATTCTTAAACCGTGTTTTTTCCTTTAATTATTATACTGATGATACTGTGACAACTATTTTTACTTACGTAGCAAACAGCTGCCTTGATCTGATGATAAATTTGAAAATGTACTCCAAAGATTTCAAGGCTTTAAGTAGAGCATCCTGGTGGCTGCCTTCCTGTGCATTGTCCACATAGTACTTGAAACACACCATCAGCTTACTGGTCAGCAAGAAGAGATAAAATATATTTACTAATTGCATAGCAATATCAGATTTTCAACACCCAACAAAAGCAGTAGCATCCTGCACTGACTATTACACAGGGAATCATTTACATTCAAGAAGAAAAATCAAACAGGCTGTTTTGGCAACTGGATAAGAAAAAAGTTTTCCAGTTTGAGCTACACACTATTGCAGTGTAAATTTTAACTGTTAAAATCTTACTTGTAAACCAGAGTGGCACTGAAATTCTGTTCAATGTACACCTCCATCACGGGTCTGAACTGGTNACGGTAGCCGGCCAGCGGAGCCGGCGGAGCCAACGGAGCCGGCGGAACCGGCGGAACGATCCGGACGGGACCGAAACCATGTGTACCGCCAGCGCTAACACTGGTGGTACAATAAAGGAAAAAATGTAATTATGTTTCCATTTTACTGACCAAAAAGAGATACTTAAAAATTGCTCAGGCTGCTGAGAAATAAAGCCTTCCATGATCATGTTAATAACTTTGATCGTGTAATGTTTAAGGATAAAGAGAATCCTTGCAAAACTGTAATTCTGCTTTTGCATCATAACTTTGGACAGAAATAAATGGTCTTTAGATCCAACATCAGATGGAAGAGTTGATTACCTACCAGCAGATTTACAATACAACTCATTCTGTTTTCCTTGTTTTCATCATGAATTATAGTCCTGTATTCCAGCAGTCTCTGCATCAGCTTCTGAACTGTTTCCACAAATGCTGTCCCCATTTCTTTCATGTATGAATGGCCATCACAGAGTCCATACATTCTAGAAAATAAGACATGGAAATAAAAACATCCTTCTCTCTTGCTTCATATAAGAAAGAATGACAGAGCTAGAAAAAGTGAATGCATTGGTATATAATCTACTGAATCAGATAGCATTAAAATATATACACATGTACAGTTGAATAAAGAAAATAAACTTGTACCAAAGTGTACAAAGATTCATGCCCTCAAAATAAACTAATAAGTACTCACATCTGAAAGAAAAGGTCCCTGTATTGTTCATCCCCTCTACCACCTTCCACCAGGGCATCTAGTTGTGTGATCATCTCATTTTCCACCTAAATTAAAAACACAGCCCCATAATTTGACAACTGACAAACAACAACGAAAACTTTTAAGATAAGATATAATTTGTTTCTATAATTTTAAGTTGAAGAATGACCAGAAAATCTTGTTAAACCTCCAAGAAACTGAATCTTGACATTCTGTGCTCACCAACACAAAGCTCCCTTTGATCCTTCCACTGGGCTGAGTGTGCATGAACTCACAGAGCATCATGTCAAAGAAGATAGGAATGGTAGCCTTTCGCAGCTCTAAAAACAAACAATAAAGCCGATTCATCCAACATGGCAATACAATACAGGCACAGTTAAGGAACAAGAGTTCAAATTCAAAGTGCTTGTGATACATTAATCTTACAGAATGAGTACATGTTGATGCTTACAAGCCCTGTGATTTGAAAATTCTTGTAATTGTCTTACGTATTAATATGCACCATACAGAAATTAAATTGGTGCAAATCATTTCAAAATTGACAAACAATACAATACATGGAAAGCTAATATTATTCAATTTGTGTGCACTATGTGTACTATGTTGATGTTTTCTGTTCCCTACCCGTTTCTGGAATGAGTGTCATTTCTAATATTGGTCCCACCATTTCTGGAATGAATCTTATCTTGTATTGGCCTGAAAGAAAATAAGTCAAATTTTACATAGGACTGACTGTCAGTGTGGCAATGTATTAAGCAAGTATCAAACTATCAAAAATATAGAAAAATAAAATCAGTAAGGTTCAGATACCAAATCTTACCTAAATTAAACCACATAGATCTTATCTCAAACCCTGTCTCTCTTCTCATGTCTTTGTATCTAAAAAAAAAATAAATTGAAAATTTCATCAAAATTAAATAAATCATCAATAACAAACTCTCAGTGGTATGACATGCACAAACTTAACAGTTATGATTTGGGTACACTTTGTCAACCTTCCAATTGATATTTTGTTTATAGTGAAGAATATTTATTGTATCACCAAATTTTCTAAATATCTGCAGAATTACTGACCACATTTTAAAAGAAAGATTTTGAAATATTGACTGTAAAAAAATATCTATAGTTTGTTCAGAAAGCCTGCACTTATAACTGAAAGGCGCATTTCCAAACATGACTTCACTTTCAGTGATGAAACTTAGCTTTTTACCAGAGATGAAATGAAAGGTTCTTGTGAAAGTGGTATAAAAATGTAATTTGGTGTTTGCAGAAAAGTAAGGTGATGACTCGTTAGTGCTGTGAGATTGCTAAAAACTTCAGAAATATCAAATGAACCATCTTTGCCTGCTTTTGATTCCATGAACTGTCCCTACATCTATTTTATAATTTTACCTGCTGATAATTTTGTTCCTTTTAGCTGTGGAGAAGTTTTCAAGCTGTAGAGGTTCTTGTGTAAGAAATGAGATTGCACAATGGAAAAAGTTATTCCAAAGCTGTAAAAAAAATTTTAAAAAATATTATCTCATTTACTAAGCAAGATTAAAGTTTTCAAAAAATCATTTACAATCATTATAAAACTTAAAATAAAACTTACATTTTCAGGTTAATGGGCATATATGGCACTGACCTGATATTCAAAAGGGCTGGAAAACCTATCCCTGATGGTATGAGAGAAGTGCCTGAGAGCTTTGAGGAAGACACTAGAAATAAAAAAGAATAATAAAATGAAATTATTTCATTTCAATATATTCATGTAATACCACATGATTATTGCACACATAATTCTGATGATGAAATTAATTAGTAGAAAAGATCAATGCTAAAATGGTATTCAAGTGTTCCTATCTATTTTTGCTACATCTCACCTGTTCTGCATCATGATCATCTCATTCCAGTCACTGGGGTAGACATTTTTGCTGACCAGATCCCTGAATACCATGAGAATCTCCATGAGGAAGTCTGTGAGGTCGATCAGAGTAGGAAAATGGTTGATGTACTGAACATAGTGATGCTCTGTCATCTGTCTAAGCATGGCTGTCATCAAAGCTACATAATTACCCTGGAATATAGAGAGGAAAAAATTCAATATAATAAAACCTAAAGCAGGGGATAAATGTCAAATGTAAAATTGTAAAATTTAAAAGAAATTTTTCAACAAAACCTGTCCATGTTTATACCAATTCAATGTAACTAAAAAAGACCAAATGCACCCTGATTTACCTTAAGGGAAAGAAAGTAATTTTGCTAAGAGTAATATTCTTCTACCAAAAAACAGTTCATAGCAGTGAAGATAAAGCACAACTATTTGCTTGAAAACAGATGGTTGGTGAAAAAGGGGTTCAAATTTTATCAAAACTAGAAACATAATTACAAAATACTTACAATACAAGGTCTCTCCCTTGGCATGGTAATAACAGTCTGTATCACAGTCCGGAGTATAGCCATCACTATCATGGAAAGGTCATCATGAACTGGGCCCTGGGATTGGTCAAAGGTGATATACGTAAATCACAAAATTGTTTATAATTTTTCTGATAATTAGGCACAAAACATAAGTAGCATAAATACAATATATGACATTATTACATATCTAAAGCTTTTCACTTTGACATGTAGGTTTGGTCTAAAAGTGTATTTTAACGTTTTCTTTTTTAATTCCATTCCACTGAAAACTTGATATCTAAACTAATCAGTTCTAAATCACAACAACAAAACAGTTGTCAGTCAATTGATACTTGGTTAGTCAACCATAACTTGTAGCTTCCAAATGGAAACAATCTCCATTATTCTACAATAAGGAGAGCAACAGAATCAACTGTTGTATGATCTGTACCACTTCATGGCTGGTCAACAGCTCCATGAGGTCTCCCAGAATCTTGACCACCTCCTCCAGTTCCTCCCCACTCTCCAGTAGAGTCTTTGTGTGAGCCAGCACCATAGGCAGGAGAATGTAGCGGCAATCTGTACAGTGAAACAATAGCACTTGAAAACCCCAATTCTCTATGATGGACAGCAAAGCATAGCCATGTGATTCCCTAATTTTGAAAATGTTAAGTCTAGCAGCAAGGAAACTGATCTCCCTTAGGTTTGTCATTACTGAATCTAAATTCTTATAAGCTTTGCACTGGTAAAATTAATGGAATTTGCTATCAGGCAGTGCAAAAGAGATGAAAAATGGAGGACTAAACACTCTTGTTTCAGGCTTTCTTCAAGTGCATAAGGTAAATTGTATTGCATAACAGCTGAAAGTTTGTCAAAAAATAACAGTTATCTACATTGTGGTTTATTTTGGTCTCACCTGGGAACATAAATAACCGACTGTGAACAATGGCAAGAATACACTTGATCTTCTCCTTTGTCAGTCTTTCCTTTGGGACATTGTTTATGAATTCCACCAACAAATGACTGAAAAAGAAAAATATGGAAAAATCTTTAATCAGAACTTGATCTAAGATTCAATTTGTATGGTACAGACCAACAGTCAAAATATTTTAGCTATGTCATCATTATCAATCAATCAATCATCTTAAACTATATTTATAAATTTAGATGCTAATGTTATAATACTAAACTCACCACCCCCCATAGTAGTCCCTTTCAGCCACTATGCAACTAACAGAATCTCATGTTCCATCTCTTACCTTAGTTCCTGTGAATCAAACACCTTAATAACATCAAATATTGCTGTAGGAAGGTACCTCAAAGCTGCACCCTAAAAAATATTATATAAATTTTTCTATAAAAAATACTGTCATTGCCCCAACTTCAAACTTTATTTAGAAACATCTACAAAAGTGCTAGTGCAATTTTTTCCAAAGGTAACCTACCTGAACCAGAACTGTGTTGTCAGCTGTATTCTTCATTAGGTGGTTGATAGACTGGAGAAGCTGCTTCAGAGATACTTCAAACTGCTGGTTGCCACGATTCTCATTCAAACTGCAAGAAAGACACAAATCTGTAAGTTAATAATGAGCATTTCCCTCCTGAATTGTTACATTTTTATCACATCTCATTTAATAAGCTGAATTTATCAAATCACCACCACCACCACCTCTTCCCAAACCTACCATTATTAGTTTCACTTCATCTTTATCATCATTCCTTTCAGTTGACAACATTTTTTTAATAATATTACTAAACATTAATCACATATATTACAAAAACGATACCTTCATTTTTTCTAAAATTCTAAAACTTTGTTTTTTCCTTTAATTATTATACTGATGATACTGTGACAACTATTTTTACTTACGTAGCAAACAGCTGCCTTGATCTGATGATAAATTTGAAAATGTACTCCAAAGATTTCAAGGCTTTAAGTAGAGCATCCTGGTGGCTGCCTTCCTGTGCGTTGTCCACATAGTACTTGAAACACACCATCAGCTTACTGGTCAGCAAGAAGAGATAAAATATATTTACTAATTACATAGCAATATCAGATTTTCAACACCCAACAAAAGCAGTAACATCCTGCACTGACTATTACACAGGGAATCATTTACATTCAAGAAGAAAAATCAAACAGGCTGTTTTGGCAACTGGATAAGAAAAAAGTTTTCCAGTTTGAGCTAAACACTATTGCAGTGTAAATTTTAACTGTTAAAATCTTACTTGTAAACCAGAGTGGCACTGAAATTCTGTTCAATGTACACCTCCATCACGGGTCTGAACTGATGGTATTTTCTGTTAGAGATGAGATCAATGATGAAGACCTGTTGGAGAAAATAAATTAGAATAACCAAATCACATAAGAGATCACAGGTTCATTATTAACAATTTGATACTTACATCTGGCAATCCACACAAATAATTTCACCTAATACAATACATCTATGCATGTTAATACAACCCAAGGCATAAATATACACAAGCATTCATTTAAACGCTGAACAAGAAGTTTACAAAATGCATAAGACATTTTCTTACCAGTGCATCAAACACCATTTGATCATAGAGGTCTGAGTCCGAGTTTTGCATCAGGATGTTAAATAAGGCATCTAAGGTGTCTTGAAGGAACTGAAATAAGAAATGGTCACAAACAGTGAAATAGGATTTTTGTACTCTATAAGATTAAAAAAAGCTCTACTGTTATAAACATCTTCAATCATGTTAAGAACAGAAACATTTCCCACACATCAGATTCTCTTTGAGCTGACTACATACTGAACTTTTTTTTCTAAATACTAACTTTGACCACTTCCTCTCCATCAACTTTCATCAGAGTCTGCAAGTGCTCCTTCAGTCCCTCAGGGTTGTCTCTCCATTTGAGTAAACCCATCAGGTCCACTGAAATATAGATCAAAGAACAGTCACTACAGCATCTTTAAAACAGTTCAACTAAAATTTGAAATCATGTCAGTTTTTTTCTGAAACATTTAACAAAGAAAATTATAATTCTTAGTGGAATTTTTATTTGTTTTTTCCCCCATCCCAAGACACACCTTGTTTAAGGTAATTTAAAAAAACATTAACTTGTCCAACTTGTATTGCTTCACTTAAATAAATATGCAGTATCAACGAAATATATCATTGTCCCATTGAAACTCGTTCTCTCTCTCTCTCTCTTTGATAGTATGTATAAGGATTAAGGCTCTATTCCCATAGATTTTAGATCGATCTATCCCCGCGGGGAGTCTNCCAAACATCAGATTTACTTTGAGCTGACTTCATACTGAACTTTTTTTTCTAAATACTTACTTTGACCACTTCCTCTCCATCAACTTTCATCAGAGTCTGCAAGTGCTCCTTCAGTCCCTCAGGGTTGTCTCTCCATTTGAGTAAACCCATCAGGTCCACTGAAATATAGAGCAAAGAACAGTCACTACAGCATCTTTAAAACAGTTCAACTAAAATTTGAAATCATGTCAGTTTTTTTCTGAAACATTTAACAAAGAAAATTATAATTCTTAGTGGAATTTTTATTTGTTTTTTTTCCCCATCCCAAGACACACCTTGTTTAAGGTAATTTATAAAAACATTAACTTATCCAAATGGTATTGCTTCACTAAAAAAAATATGCAGTATCATCGAAATATATATCATTGTCCCATTGTAACTCGTTCTCTCTCTCTCTCTCTCTTTGATAGTATGTGTAAGGATTAACACTCACAATTGTGAGTTAGCTTTGTAGAGCAGACTAATGTCTCTATCTGGAAACTATCCTTGTTGCTGAAGGTCAGTGGTCCAGCCTGAATTGTCTGTTTTTGTACAGGAAGTCCGGTCTTGGACGCCTTCTTCTCCAGATCTTGCTTGCTGGCAGGCAGAGACAGGTAGATGAGCTTGTCTTGTTTCTTGTTGTCAATCTGGACACACATAAGGAAAAACAAAAAGGTTTAGAAACTTTTTCATACAATCTATTGTTTTTTTTTTTTTTTTTTTTTTTTACAAATTTTACGATTAGTCACTTATGAAAATATATATGAACTTGATAACACAGGTTGTTCTAACTAATCAAAGGGGTCATGCTGTTAAGAGATGTCACAAGACAAATGTTAATCCACATTTTAAAGCAAATGGATAATTATCTTCAAAGGGTAATGGATATTTGGAAGTTTTATCACTTCAATGTCATGAGTAAAGCAGCCCTAAACATAATATAAAGAAAATATTAAGATAGCAGGGAAAGCAAGCTTAAAGTAAATATATTTCAGAAGATACTAGAATAACTTTGAAGTGAACAAGGTATGAGCATTTAACAATCCCAGTGAGAGAAGTTAATGGGAGATAACAAAGTACAACATGCATGCATTGAGTAATCCCCTGTTTTTGTCTTAATCAATGAAATCATCTATGACAATAAAAAGCCTTAGCATAAAATAATGCATCCTGCCAGCAAAAATCAAAGCCAACAAGCATTTTGTGGCCAGAAAGAAGAAACTTGGAAAATGGACCCTTTACTTTTTTCTTCCAGACTTTCTTTCCTTGCTCATATTTTCGTCCTGGCTTTATTTCCTGTAATGTTGCGGATACAAGAAGCACACATGTTACAAGCTACAACACACAGTTACACAGATGAAGACCATGTCATTTTTTCTATCAAAGAAAATAAATTCATTTCGACAAATTTTCAATTTCAATATTTAAAAAAATTAAAATCTATTTCACTTTATATCTGCAAATCAACAACCTAAAAACTCTTTACATTTTTAATTTTCAACAATCTCATACTTTCAACAATTATCCTAACAAGCCCTTTGATTAAAGATTAAAACCTACCACCAAGATACAGATGCAAAGCAGACCTAAGTTAAGTTCTATGAAGTACAAAGGCTATCATGCCAAAAAAAAACCATGCAAAGTATTATTTCAATATTCATAGGGATTAATGATGGTGGTGGTGGGGGGGGGGGGAGCATACATTTTGTTCTAATCAAAATTATTAAAAAATAAAAAATTCTGACATCTGCCAAGATGTTGGTGTTAATATTGGATTTAGGTAAATAGCATCTCATTTACTGAACACATAAAAAGTAGTTCTTTTTAAAGAAACTTATTGATGCTTGGGTTAAGAAAAAATAAACTGATTTATTCTTACTTTTAAAAGCATAATCCTGATATAGGAAAGGTTGGTTATAATATAGTTCTTAAAATTAAATTATCAAAAAAATAGGTTTGGTGATTGGGAATGTATAAAAAATAAATATCTGTCCATCAAACAGGATTATCAAAATGGGATGTAGGATAAATTAGGAAAGGCAATTAATTGCACTATATAACTAAGTAGAATCACAAAAATGACCATGAAAAGATTCTGATAAAAAATCTGGCAAATACATTTATAGGCTATTTATCCAAAAATCCTCGCAAAGTCTTTTGTTTGATTCTTGATTCTTATCAAATAAAAAGGAAAAAATTGTGATAATTTTAAGTGATCAAATTAGAATTCTTTAACAAAAGAAATGGAAGGATAGGCCGTAAACTAGGTCATAATGCCGTTATTTACATCTGCTTGCAAATGGCGAGCCTTCAAATTCTCATATCCCTGAAATAGCATGGAAAGTGAAAAGCCATACCAACCACATAAGCTTTGAAACACTGAATCCCTTACAATCATGCCTTTCATCCCAGACTATATACATCAATACAATTTCACATATTATGTGTGCCAAGATGCACATTCTAAAGCAGTTTCATCTAAAATTAGCCACAGCCTGCAGTGTATTTTTTTCTTTATTATTCAAACATTGTACATAGCAAATATTTTCAGCTACACTTGTTTTATTATAAAAGGCTCATGCTAGCATATACAATTTTCACCAAATGCTTAAGAAAATTTACTCTACTTAAATAAATGAAAATTGGTCCAAAATAATACAGAGTGAACCCACATTTAGTATCAATACATTTCTAACAGAGTGTCAAAATTTCATTGTGTAAACAATTATAAAGTTTATCATATTTTTCTATAAATCCTTTTACGTTTTTGTAAGCCCTCTGTCATGCCTTTGACAGACCAAAGCATACAGGGCCTGTATTCAAGCACATCAAAAAATCAAAACAATTTCAACACAAAGAAGTAGCAAAGCATCTTATCAAAAAAATAAATAAGCTTTATTACCTCCGCCAAGGAGGTTATGTTTTCAACCCTGTTTGTCTGTTTGTTTGTCTGTCATCAACATAACTCAAAAAGTTATGGACTGATTTTGATGAAATTTTCAGGGTAGGTCAGAAGTGGGCCAAGGAAGAGATGATTAGTTTTTGGTGGTGATCCGGATCAATAATTAATCAATAATCAATTATAATCAAAAATTGCTGCCTTGGCGGAGGTCTGTTCTCTTGGAGTGCTTTTCTAGTTAGAAATGAGAACCTGTACCCTACTAATCATCCAATAAGAATGTACAATCAGGGAAACTTCTTTGTGTTGTTAATTTGCTATGCCTACCTCAACAGCAACTCACCACCAATACATTAAAATAAATAAAAACCACCACACTATTATCCTAGGCTTACCTTGTACACACACAGATCATGAACCTTGTCTGCCAGTGTGGTACCATTATCATTCATCAGTTTGACAAACGCCATGGCAAATGGTTTTTCAGTTTTGTCTTTGGCTAGAAAACAAAATGAAATAAAATAAGTATAATGAGCATCAGAAACAACAAAAGAATATTTTCAGACTTGATTTAAATCATATTCTTCTAAGTCAAATGTCTCAATATTAAATACTTCTCAGCATGGTCTCAACCTGTATTATAGCCATCCTATCCTTGCAGTGAATCTCACTTACCATCTATGGTTGAGCGATGTTTGAAAGTGAACTTGAGATGTGATCCATAGAAATCTTCAATAGGAATTGCCACCTACATACAAAGAAGCAAAATTCTATATCATGATAGTATACACATATTAATATGACAAACATTTTTTTTCTGTCTTAAGCTTTAATACACACATATTATAAAAATCTATTCTATATTTTCTAATTTCTTCAACAAAAGTAACTGCTGCAGCAGGAATATGAAAATGGCCAAGGTGTCATCCATTACCTTGACTGTCTCATACCACTCTGGCTTGTCTTTATGGTAGTAGATTACAGACCTGTAATCTGTGGTAAAATCATCAGATCCATGACTGATCACATCCTATGTTTTTAAAAAAATTAATCTTTTTAGTCAGTATACACTTTAATTTCATTAATCCACTAAAGCTCGGAGCCCATAAGGAGCTTTCATCTATTATGTAGAGACAAAAAAGCAGCTCTCATGTACACTTTCAGCTTATTGTGTAAAAATTGAAGAGTTTTAAATTTTATCATTATGATGAACACTACTACACAGATTAACTTTCATCAGAAGTCACCACCTTGATGCAAAGCCAAAACTTTCAACCTGATCATACATATACATATGCTCAGACATCCCCAAGTCATGATCTTTCATAACTATGCTCCAGTCATATGCTACTTACTTTGATCACATCTCCTCTCTCATTGCAAACACAAATTGTGACTTCAACATTTTTATCTGATGTCTTGTTTCCTCTTATAAACTCTCCACACATTATGGTGACATAGAGGTCATTTCTGACATCTCCTGGCATGATCACCTCTGGGAATCCCATCTTTCTGGCTACAGATGTGTTCCCCTGCTACCAGATGTGGGTAATCTTCCTTCACCTTGAAAAAAGTGAAATAGGTGAAACCTAAATTTTGGTGAAAAATATTTTCAATTTATCCTTTATTATGCATGCTGAGCCCTTCTTTATATGGCTGCAGTTGACGGCCAAGTTTAACAAGAAAAATCAATGGTATGAAAGATTCACAAAATGACAATCTTTCATCAAACAAGTATCTTTTAATCTGTCTGCATGTTCTCATAAGACACATGTTGTCTTACCTGGTTCAGATCCCCTGGCAGTATCTGAAGGCACACCCACAGTCCCTGACCCTTGTGGTTGATCTCTTTGGCTTGGATGGCATTTCTTATTACTTTTTCTAAGGAATCCTCTTTCCCACAGCTGAAAAAATAAACCAGCTCATAATGTTTCATCTTTTAAGAAAGCAGCCAAGAAAAACTTAAAATGACACTAGAGTAGAGTTGTAATGTAATTAAATTAATATATTTACTCTAACTTACGCCATGAAAGGGATAAAGTGTGGCGGTTTGTCCTCACTAGCCTCAACGTTGCCTCTGAAGATTTCAGACAGATCCATCACTGAAAAATTAAATAACAGATTATAGTCACACAGTGATAAAGTGATGCCAACAAAATCTGAGAATCAATGTTGAAATGAAAATAATATAAATTAGTTAAGTTTAACAAAAGCATCTAAGTACCCATTTCAATAAATTATTCGAATTGTTGCTGAGGGTTTACTTCAAACAGTAATCTTCATTCCTGTTTGTTACTATCTTTCATACCTGCCACACCAAATGGTCTTCTCAGGCCTGTTGTCTGCTTCTTGTTATCAGCATCTTTAAGATCCATGCAACCTGGAAATCAAAATGGTAGGCTGGACTTCAAGAAGTCAAATGTCAATAAATGCCTTTTTAATGAAAATCTATTCATATAAAAATTCAAACTAGTGCATGTGTGTAGTCATATCTAAGCCCACCTTGCATAAAACTGTAACACATATTATAGGGCAAAATAAATAAGAGAAAATAACGAAACTCCATCACTTAATGCTAAAACAAATGGATAAGTAGAACTGAAAAAAAAGCTTTCTGAACAATAGGTAATAAAGAAAGTAAATATTTACCTATCCTTATTATTTGACATACTAGGAAGACTTTTTCTCGTTGAAGATCCTTTGTTCCCAGATCCTGAGAGAAAAACCATTTTATAAATTTCACTCTCAAACCACACAAGTGCAAACATATTTCAATTAGCACAAAAATTCTTTATTGTCAGAAAACAACCTATTTCTTTACTGGCTAGATCATTTCAAACTCAAGTGCAAGTCATTATGTATGCAAATGGGGAATCCCATCAAAATTTTAGAAATTTATATGCTTTATATACTCACTGTGAACAAGGCACGGAGGTTATTGAGCATCTCTATGTCCTTTGGAAGACCCTGGCTGCCCCAATTAATTATATAACTCTCTCTAAAATAATTAAGATTATCAAAATGACATAACTTTTACAGTTTAACGAGATAAGAGCACATTATTTCAAATTGCCAATGTGTTATGTAATTCAACTTAATCCATCTAAATATATATATATATATATATATATATATATATATATATATATATATATATATATCATGTGGGCTGTAAATATCAGGAACTTTAATATTCACACTTACGTGAAGACCTTGTTTTCTTTGGCATCATAAAGATTAATGAGCACATCTGCATCTTCTCCAATTCTGCACACAAAGTTTTTTACACTGACAAATAAGCTGAACTGGTGCTTTATTTTGTGCTTTCCAACAGGATTGGGGCAATTCTTTGACTGAAAATGACATTTATTACATACAAAATAAATGACAGTGAGTAAATGCATAATTATAACAGTGACACTTTCTTTTTGGTATGTTAATAATGTAAGTTACTGTATAAATTCTCTTTCAAACTGCTTTTCACAATTCAAAACAGTGCCATTCATAAATGTCAAATATACTTCAGTGCTGTAAATACTACTTACCTGTTCTGCCTCTATCCTTTCCATGGCCAGTTCATGCTGAAATGTTAATGATGTAGCACAAAAATTTCCTTTTTAAGCAAAAAAAAAATCTGGACATGTTATTTTGTATCTAATTATGTTGAAGTTATGGTGCAATAAAATAATAAAACTTAGAATATACAAAGGTATAAAATGATAATTGGCTTTTTTATGATTAAATTCCCAAAGCACACAGATAATATGTAAATCAAAGGTCGTAGAAATAGTTAACCTACCTGTCTAAATAATTTGATGGTTCCAGTAAGCTCTGGGTTAAGAATATTACCATCTTCATCTCTCACTGCCAAGTCCAATCCCAATATGCTGAATTTAAAATATGCTATGCTACTTCACAAGCAATATAAGAAGTAAAAAGACATAACTTGGTAAAATAATTCAGTGGCTTCTGTTCAGTTTGCTTTGTTTCACAGCAGTTAATTTTTTAGATAATTTATGAATAACTTCATTTTTTATATTTTATATATTATATATTTATATTTTTTATTTTTAGTTTAATATGAAAAAATTGTGTTAAATGAATTCCATTTCTAAAGCACAATTTGTATTCTACTCACGCATTCCCCATGTCTATAATTGCAGTGAGTTTCTGTTGGAGATCTTTCAATTCATCCTGAAAAACAAATTAGAAATATATTTGGATCAATTTCCAAGCTGAGTTAGCACTTTAGTTAAAGCACTTACATATAAAGGTAACATGAAAACTCTGAAGGTAAAAGTTCCAGCATCCTTACTAATTCCAAATTTCAAAATAAATACTGTTAAAACATACCTTTAAATATCAACATTCAATGTAACAAATACAGACACTTTGAATTTTCAAGGTAATCTAACCTTATCTCATATAATAGTGTCAAGTGGTATTTGGTTAGAGAAAAGTCAAAGAGATGACTGACACACAGGGTGCTGACAGTTAATTGAATACTTTCTCTAATTTTTAATGTCTCTTACCATGGTTAATTTTCTTGACATGATCACTTTCCTGGCATCCAGCAGCCTGGACATCATGCCTCTGACCTCCTCAAACTGGGCACCGTTATTCTAAAATCACAAAATATCCACATGCTGAACAATGAGTAGTTTTATTTTTAGCCAAGTATGCTAATGAGATATGCTTCATGTAAAAAAAGAAAGTTGTTAGGTTAGATTCCATCATGATGAAAGTCCTACTTGACAAGTCAATACAAGTTGATAAATCTAACTACCACAGAGCTGCCCCGTTTTTAATGTTTTCTTTAATTGAGAGTGCCATGCAGAATGCACTTACCACATATAAGTTTCTCAATATAGAGCCCCATTCTCTCAGCACTGAAGTAATCTCTTGCACTATCATAGGTTCCTTGGTGGTCAAGGATTCATATGCCCTGTAAAGTAAAAATCAGTTGGCAATATATAATGAAGTTGGTTTAAGCCATGGCATCTTTTGGTATTCCCATGTTATTATGTTAAATTAACCGTTTTTTGAAAAAAAATACCAAGTGCCTTTAAATCACCTTGTGCATCATACTTAAATATGCAATATCACTGTGTATACCTAATATGTTATCAGCTGTTTATTGGACAACAAATAGTCGTTGGCCAATCTCAAGTAGACTTTTTTAATCTGAAAATGATGCACATACCATCAGATAAACCAGTTTTAATTTGGCCTGATGTATATTACCTCAACTGCCATCTTTCTTTTAAATATTCATATATATTCAAGAATGCCAAAAGTTACCTCATTATTTCAGAGAAACAAATGAAATATATATTTGACCTTTTCAACAATCTACCAATACTTAGGTAGAAATATTGTTCAACTTAATCAAAAATGTGGTATAGTGATTCAAGAATATATTTCAAGTACAATACACAGAAGTTTTAAATCAAGTTATTTTTAAGGGGATGACACCAAATGAAGCTGCTTCACCTCTCAAATCATAAGATAGAGCACTGTACTCACCCTGATTTGTCTATGGAGGCATCTTTGATGCAGACATATGCCTGTGGGAAGATTCCTTGTATGTACCTATTCTTCAGGTTATAGCCCCGTAACCAGCCTAGAAAATATTTTATCTTAACCATTCACTGTAAAATACACAGTTATTCTGTAATTGCAAGTTATACAATATGAATGTCTCCTACTGATGGGGAGTTAACTTTGTCCAGATTCATTGTTCCATGCATAATTGCAGTCAAAAAGGGTAATTCAAAACATCTACACTTAGCAAGAGTGACAGAGCAATGCTGACATGCATTTTTAATAACAAAGAACATTTTTGAAACAGACCACATGAATGGATTAAACCTGAAGTGCAGTTGCTTTTCCAAACTTAATATATACCTTTTATAAAAATCACTTACTGAGAACTGATATTTGTATGATGGATACGTATTAAGCTTATACTCTCAACAATAAACAGAGTACTAAAATGAAATAATAAAACTTAAAAGAGCTGTAAAACAACAGTACCTAATCAACTAATACAACACCCATGAAAAGTGCTGTTTTGCATACAATGATGGCTCAATTTAAACACAAGGTCACGCAAAAATAGCATTGATAAGAAGTAAATTCCTTCCTTTTAAACTGTACATCTACAGTTCTGTTTCTAAGCAAGCTCCAAATTCATTAAAATTTTGTATAGCTTTATGTGTTCTATTTTAGAAATCAAAGTTGAGTTGCATATGATATTAAACAGTCCTGTCCTGACTGCTGTCATGTAAAATGCCAGGCAGTATCTGCTGCTTATGTGCCTCAATGATGTAACATCAAACTTGAAGGTTGTCAGGTGCTATTAATATGGCTTAAATGTCTTATATCAAGTACAAGTTGGGATCATATTACTATAATGGTTACCACTGCAATGGATCACATTACCCCCTTGACATCAGTAGGTGAATATTCTATGACTTGCAGAATAACACTGCTTAAACAATACTTTTCATTTATAGATTAAACTAAGCTTCTGCCCATTTATTATCATCTATGATGTATTCAATCATTTTCACTTTGAACATGCAAAAATGGGAAATATTTCTAGACAAGTGTATATCATTGACAGAACTGACTGAGGTGATGACTAAATGCACCTTTGCAGACACAACTGCCTGTCAGGGTATAAAAAATGACAACACATTTGTCAATGAGACATCTCAATTTAAATAAACTGAAACAAGACTGCACTGTTCACTAAATTAGACCCATTTTTCCAAAGACAACCAGGCCGCAATAGTACTAAACCTGTTCAACATCTAACTTTTCATCTATATAACATGTATTGTCCATGTTATAAACTTCCTTATCAGACAGTTAGTTCTTGCAATATCAATCAAACTAAACATAAATTTACACCTGCTGCATACTTATCTTGCAACAAGTACAATATGATCAGTCCACAACACAAAAATGAAACAGCTCAAAAATAAATATGAACAAATACGAGTCTTTTCAGTTAAACACATCCCTTAATTGTCAAAACAAAAAAAGAAAAGGTATTCCAAATAACAGCCTTTTATAACTCAAACAAAGAGAGATGTTTAAGGGAATGTCACAAAACTGCAAAAGTGGTGTACTGCAGGTCTCGTGGTAAAAATCAATATTCACATTAGGAACCTTTCCAAATGAGATAAAAGACATTCTTGTAGCTCTCTATGAACATCTGAAGAATTAAGTGCTTAAACAAAGTGACTGAGGTATTTTAACATATATACTCTTTCATGCAGAAAAAAAATTCAGTTTGTATTATTTATTAAATACCTAAAATATTGCAAAAAATTATTTTGCAAACTCTTGCATCCACTTAGTTGTAAATACTGTCATTCTAGATTCCAGTGCATACAGTGACCAATATGGCAATGTACAATCTTGATCATGATCAAGACGGGCAATGAACACAGGGTTTAACCAGGACAATGGATTTTTTACTATTTACCATGGTGATTTTTAGCTGTCACTGTGTGATTATTCTGATAGATCCTCAAATTTGCTCATCTTTTAATTCTTCTGTCCTTAAAACTACCCTGCCATTAATCAATCATAGTTAAAATCTTTGATAAAACTAATGAAAAAAATTACAACAATGGCACCTTATTATTTAACTCTTAATTGCCACTTGTACACCATACCTTCACACTGTTCTACAATATGCACTGTGTCACCAACACTGAGTTTCATTCGATGAGGGCCATCTTCCTTGTAGTTGTATATGGCTAAAATATAATAAATAAAATTATAAAGACCACCTTAGCTCTGGTTTCCAGTCATATATTAAACCAATTCGTCTCATTGGCTGTTCATACTCATAACATTATAAAAAATAAAATAATTAGGATTTAGGACAAATTGAAAGTAGTTTCATTTCATTTACACAGGATTGAAATCAATCTGTACTTTCATTTCAAAATGAGCATGCATTGGACTGCACTTTAATTGTATTCATTTGTCAGACTGTGAAATGCAGCTAATGTAAGGAAAAAATTTAAATCCATTTTTTATAAACAAAAAGCATTCTACAGCCATAAACATAGGATCTATTCCCATAGATTTTAGATCGATCTATCCCCGCGGGGAGTCTCACTAGATTACTTTCAGATAATCCGACTTAAATGTCTGTCCCGCCTACTACAAGCTGTAAGAGGGTAATTAACTTTCGTGTCCGCCCGGCTGACAGCTATTTAGCGTGAACCCCCAGGGAGTTAAGTCGATCTAAAGTAGGTCGATCTAATCTATGGAAATGGGGTGATAGAGTTTAGAGATACAAGAATTTTCCTTCTGGAGTCCTCAAAATCTCAGTTATGTTAGTAAACTTAAATGTTTACTTTATTCTTTGCATGCATCACCGCTGTTACATCAGTCATAATAAATTCATCATGAAAACAATCAATTAAAAGATCAGCATAAAACAAATCATAAGTAGCATTGTTTTTCTTAATTATAAGCAATATGAATCGTAGTGGTTCTCAAAACTTAATAATATTTATTGAACTTATGTAAACATAGGTAACACCCCCAATAGATCACTTCAGATAAGATTTGCTCATAATAACGTGGTTTATAATGACAATCGGTATGAATGAGAAGTTCCTGATTCTTCAATAAGTTCACATTGAACACAACTGCATATTCACGAGTCAAAACGGCAAGGAATCTTAAACACGTGAAAATTCCTCCACCAGTACAAGTTACAACATAAACACGAAACCGACACTTGCAATTTGGTTGTCGAACTAGTTGGTACCAAGTCTCGGGAACTTGACCGGGAGATCTAGCGGTGTCTGTCCAGGTCGATCTCTATAACAAAAGATCGGAATACTCACCAACGCCATACTTCATGGAAGGCCCGGTTTCTGACCACATTTTCGATACCTTTTCCTACATCAAGAAAGTATCAACGTTTGTAAGTAGACTTCCTCTATCATGAAATGAATCACCCTTTCCCGAGGGATCTGCCATGGTGAATGTCCCGTATGAAGGTCACACAAGATAACCCACGCTCCACTTGTATTTTTCCCTTTGTTATCAATCTTACATCTTCGGCATATATTTGACTTGTCTTATTACATGTTATTTTTTCAATGTGTAAATGCTTTGATTTCTTAATATATTCCACCTTTCACATTCTCGAAAAGTATTTTTCATCAGATGTATCCACCGGCCTAGATCTTTGTGAAAATGAGGTCGAAAAGACGTGCAGCGAAAGCCTAGTGGGCTGTACACAGAAGGACAGGCATGGAAGAGGGGAACGATGCTGACGATAACTCCGCTCACAGAACGGAACAAAGAATGGCACCAGAAAATGTGGGCAGTGCAGTTATTGGGGAGTGCCCACTGGAAGTGAATGAAACAAACAAAAGTAAATTTCGAATGTTAATCACTATTCAAATAGTGTTGCAACTGGTATAATTTTTTGCAAAATGATTAGAATGACGTGTATCAAATTGTATTTTAATTAGTTCATTTTGCAAACATGTCTAACTGACCGTGGACTTCGTTTTTTTATGTTTTGCTGTGAGGGTGAAAAATAATCTTGTAATATTTTACAGCTATTGTTATTCCTAGTAAAAAACTAACCTATTGAAGCAAGGAGTTAAATTATTTTAGTCATTGCCTCAGTTTTGAATTGGTCATACTAAAATGCTCAATGCAGCGCAACATGGGGCATTACACTTGAGAAATGACTCCAAGTTCAATTAAACACTGGAAATGGTAATTTACAAGAAATAAATTGATGTAAGTGAAATATATTGCTAGGTAATTAATATTGTTGATCCAACTTAACAAATCATTACAATTTGTTTTTGAATTGACAGGTTGTCTGTCATTATAAAATGCAAGATCTGTAAGCTAGTGGCTGATTGCTATTTCCAGTGTTTACTCATGTCTAGAAGTTGTTTTCTCTAGTGTAGTGTGCTGTGTTGTGCTGCATTGCACATTTTAGTATGTATGGTTTTTGACCTTACAATGCATTCAACCCTGTGTTACAAACTCACAAAGCTTTATATATCAGTGATATCACTGGCATTTTCTTCATCCAAGATACTTAAATATTGTCAAACTTAACCAATTACAAAAGCTCTTCAAATGTGAATAATATACAAAAAAAAAAAAAAAAAAAACCATAAAGGATACACAAATTTGCCAGGATATAACTATTTATAGCCTCAAGAGTTTGAAACACAGGGTGAAATGAGGCCTCACTAGGTAAGAACCTAGTAAGGTAATTAAAGTCATAGATCTGTTTGCTGCTATTGTGTTTAAAACTTACATAATTTATACAATTTAATCCTTTTTTTCTGTGCCTAAATTAAAAAAAATATTTATTTAATGATTAGGGTTTATATCCTCTTGTTTTTCTATGATTAATTGTACTGGAAATTTTTTTCAGAGATCTCTATGTTGAAATATCTCAAGGCTGAGCTTACCAGAGGTTACCTATTGGAACATGAAGAAGAAAAGTTTTCAGAAAAGAGAAGAAGGGTCTATACATTCATGAAAACACCAAGAGAGCTTGAAACGGTGATTAACTTACTGAACTGGCTTAAAAGCATATCACACATAGGCAAAATATCTCAAGCCTTTTCAACCAGTGATATTAACATTACACTGACCCAGTTAAGAAAAAACCTGGGTTGGGATTAGTGGGGCAGTATTTGTTTTTAATACACCAAGAAAAATAGTCCATTGTGCATTATGTTTGTCTAATATTAAATCCCTCGAATCTGACAACCTCTGAAATAAATTAAAATAATTGTTGAAGTGACGTGATATGATTTGTAAAATGAGTCATTAATTATGTTTCAGTTTTTGGTATATGGCTTCTTCTTATGTGTGGATGCATTCCTCCATGTTTTGACATTCCTGCCTCTCAGGTTCATGTTAGGCATCTTCAAGATTGTTACCCAGCCATGTGGTTTTATGTTTGGAAGGTAGGAGTTTTAACCATGATGTAATTGATTAGCCAACTATCTCTTCATCCAGACTGAGTTGTTGAAAAATAAATTGTGGTGTATATGCAGATGAGAAATAAAATAACATTTAGGCCAGAGAAAATTGATAAGTTGTTTAACAAGCATGACATACACTTATTATGAAGAAATTTGACATCCCTCTCCACCCCTTAAAATTTTTTACCAACTCTAGAACTTAGCTGCTGTGCTCATGAAACATAACTGTTCAAAAAGCAAAATTCTTTTTTGTTTACAGTCCCTGTTTACAGAGAGTTGCTGCTCTTAAACCAACTGATCAATTTTGTCTGGTTTTATCACAACTCAGAACTGTTACAGTTTTTTTATTTTGGGTGTTAGAAATATCATAGCAAAAAATCACTAGCTTTAAGGGATGCAAGGCAATAGTTTGATATATTTTGTAAATGTATAATTGTTTTTCTTTTATTTTTCCAGATCCAGGGTCTTGGAGCCAGGAGAAATCTGTGATATTCTGAAAGTATTAATCCTTATCATAGTGTGTGTAGCAGTCAGCTATGTGGACACTTCTATGATGTATCACATAATTCGGGGCCAGGCCATCATAAAACTCTACATATTTTTCAACATGCTAGAGGTAGGAAATATGCAATTTAAACACATGCATTCCTAAAAAAAGATGTTTTCATTTCAGTACAAAGACCAGTGTCAGCAAATGATTGTTGGTGATTGGGTTAGGTGTTGTGTGTGAGTGCACTATTTATTCATTATATTGAGCATAAATACACCCCTAATAAGATGTGATTGCTACAATTAATGCTGTACTAGTTTTTATTAATTTATTTTATTATTGTTTTTTTTTTAATAATTATTTTTCCTTTCATTTCAGATAGCAGACAAATTGTTTTCCTCCTTTGGACAGGATATTTTGGATTCCTTGTTCTGGACAGCCACAGAGCCCCGCAGCAGGAGGAGAGAACATGTGGGTGTCATACCACACCTCCTGCTGGCTTGTTTGTATGTCTGTATCCTACACTGAAAACAACTGAAGTAATGTAGAAAATAAGCATTTTAAAAACAATATTGATTTAGCTGGTCCTTCATGACTGAAAATGTTATGTTTATAAACTTATACTGATATATGGATATTAATGTTAAGCATTCAGTTGGAACAGTACTATTATATTGCATAGTTACTAAGCAAAAGGGTCTTAATGTACGTGTACATACCAATCAAGTTATCTTTTTCCTTAATAAACTGCTCAGTCCTGCATACAATCCTGGTGCTATTACAGACAACTACACTTAATGTGGCTTTTAATTCCCACAACAAATCTCTCTTGACAATCATGATGTCCAATAATGTAAGTATGAAAGAGAACATTTACACCTTATTGATAATAAGTTAAGGCTGTGTGCACACGTTCAGTTTTGTATGGAAAAGTTACAGTTTTATGTATGACTATTTAGCAAACAAAACCAAACCCTGTCAGTATCATTGATTGTATATGTATAACCTCAAGTGTGATAGCCATTATGTATTTTATGGTGAGGTGAAAAGTGCTTCTCTCACATTCATCTTTCCTTTTTCTTTTATTTCAAGTTTGTTGAAGTAAAGGGCACTGTGTTTAGGAAATTTGATAAAAACAACCTGTTTCAAATGTCCTGTGCAGATGTCAGAGAGAGGTTTCATTATATTATCCTACTGTCTATGGTGTTTGTCAGAAACATGGCTGAATTTTCTTGGAATATTGGTAAGTTGCAATTTTCTGATTTTTATCCTATCAAAGGGTGAGCATATGGAGACAGAATAGCTAATGCTATTGAACTATCCCTTGTATTAGTGTTATCGACATAGAAATTTTTAATAATAATAATTATTATTATATTATATTTATATTTTTTGTATAGAACATTCCATTTTTTATATTTCAATGTACTTAATCATTGAAATATAAAATTCTTAAGAGTTGCATCAATAAAATTTTAAAGAAAAAATCTGCATTACACTCTTTGTAGGTGCCAGGGAAATGCTTTGTTCAAGTTACGTGTGTGGTTTAGATTACCCATGGCAACTTGAATTTTAAAAAATCATGCTGTCAATTTTCAGATCACTTTTGGCTCCTCATCCCAGATATGATCATGGTGCTGCTAGCAGAAGTTGTTGTGGACTGGGTGAAGCATGCCTTCATCACTAAGTTCAATGCTATAGCATCTGAGGTTAGTGCAAAAATGAAATTACTTTGAAGAAATAAAAATATGCAACATTTTAACACTTAAAAATAATCAGAACAGTTGATTGAGAATTGATTTCCCACTATTATATATTTTAATTTGATTTAAAAATCGTCAGCATCTGAACTGACTTGCATGTTCTTAGTTTTTGTGTGATTTATTAGTTTATATTATGACAAATCACAGCTGTCTATATATATGTTTCAGGTATACAGGGAATACAAAATAAGTCTAGCATATGACATGGCAAACAGCAAGTTAAAAAAGGTAAGTTGATGGAGTCCATACTCATTACAGTATGAGTACCATTTAGAGATCACACCATTAGCCAAGATGACTATAATGAGAATACATTTCACTAAGCATGCTTTTAATTTCAGGCTGTATCTGACCACACAGACCAAGTGTCCAGGAGAATGGGCTTCATTCCTTTCCCACTGACATGTCTCATGATTAAAATGATATACACATCCATAAAGTTTGCAGGCGCAATTGACATCATCATTCTTATTCTTATTTATTTTGGGTAAGAAAATCATTTTTGAAATATTTTTTATCTCAAATATTTGACAGATTAAAAAGGTTATTTTATGAAAAAAGTAACATAATGCTGTTCAGCAGTATTTGTTTTTTTGAGGGGGAGTGGCTTATCAAATATAACTAATTTGTATTATATTATACAGTTCATTTATATTTTTTATTCAGAATTACGTTTTCTTTTTACAGATTGATAACATTCAAAGTTTTTAACAGCATTGTCTTACTGGGACATGCAATAGACTGTATAAAGGAACAAAAAGCCAGAGCAGAACAAGAATCAAAAAGCAAAACCTCAACAGATCCAAAAGATGAAGTTATACCACCAGCCCCATCATCCCCAGACATCAGAAGAGCATTGTTTCAAATAGGAAAAGGGTCACTGAGTGAGGACCATGCCAGTATTCTCAGAAAAAGGACAAATTCTGGTACTCATGGGTCACAACCTAATGTGACATTTGCCAGTTTTGTCGATGATATTGAGCCTGAACCAAGGTCAAGGTCAATGTCACTTCAGCATGTGGAGCACAAGCATGCACATGAACAGAGCAGCTTAGCAGAGGGTCTGAAATCCTCCTTTACAGAAGATCTGTTGAATGTTTCTCAGTCATCTGAGGATGTGAGTAGTTTTGATCAAACTGAAGATCTGCCAACAGACATGTCTAGTTCATTTCATCCAGAAAAGTCATTGACTGCAATGAAGCCTATGTTTTCTAACAGCATGGTTAGTTTGAAGAGTGTCCATCTGAATGAAGAGTTTTTAAAAGATTCGGAAGCGGCAGAGGCTGCAGAAAATGAATGTTCTGAAGATGCAGTGCCCAAGGAAGGAAAACCTGAAGAAACTGGTGTTGCTGACCCAACACTAGATGCAGTAGAGAAAACAAAAACAAACAAAACCCTGAATGAAATTGATAGATTTACTATGTGTAGTAGCAGCATTGTTTGATTGGCTGAAAGGTTATATTATATTTACAGATTGATGAGGGTAGAGGGTACTATGTTAAGCTTTATCTCAGTATTTTCCTATTTGGAACTTCTGTAAATTTATGTAGTATGATATAAGTGTGTTGGGACATTCAGGTATAGAGCAAATGGTTAATGGAGAATGTGCAATTTAAAAAAGTCACTTTTTGGGGGTCACAGTATATTTTCCCCCACAAATAAGGCATTTATTTTCTTCTTTTGATCAATTTTTTTTATAATATATTTTTTGGGCAAAATGAACTGTCCTTAGTTTTTGGTGAAAATGAAATGTGCATGCTTGAGCTTTAATTTTGACAGAGTACATGTATATATGGATGATTTTATGTTGATGCTTATTTTGTGTTATTTTATTTTTGACCACTCTGGGATGCTGCTCAAAATTGTTTGTTATGATTATCAAGTTTATTGTTATTCAAAGTTCCCATGTAAAATTATTCAACAATAGAACAATATACTAGATGCTGAAGAAAATAACAATATGAATGTTATGTTTGATTAATTTTATTGGAAGTTTATTTATTGTATGCCAAAATGTGAGCATGAAAATAGTGCTGTTATGCTTTGATCCGCGTGTGTTCAATCACGCCTAGTTTATATGAGAATCCTATTAATGTCTAAATGAGGACCACTTGTTACTACAGTATATACATCTTATATTTAATAAAAAATGGCTGTAACTTATGTTTTAGTCCTTAGTGTGAATGTGTATTTTTGAATGGAGGCTGACTCTTATAACAATTTTAAAAATACTATTACCGTCTTCTAAAAGATGCTTTGAAAATTTGACCTAATCGTTTTCTTGTTGCTCTCTAAAATATATAATTTATAAAAAGAAATTTATCTTGAGTTTTATGGTTTTATGATTGGTGCCATCAGTGAAGTTCAGTAAAAACGCAACAACTCATAAACCTAAAGTAAAGTTAACAATGCGAATATGGACTGAAACTTGACTGACGACTTTCTGATTGGACCTCTTTAATATTTTGTGCTTTTGATGGATGATTTGTTTATAAAAAAAGGCCAAACTGGCGTGTTTGCCATTATCACTGTGTGAGTGAGTTTTTTCTCCACATTACTTACTCTAGTTGTCACTGTTTATTGTGGCAGGAATATTTACCTGCACTTATGTCAATAATGATAAATATGCTGTAGTATTTGCTTAGTTCATTTGGTAACACAACAAAACGATATGAAGCAATGGCCTATTAGAGTGTCTACCTATATTTGTTTGCACTTTTTTGTGTGCATCGCAAACAGTAACGTAATGGCACCCGGACCGTTGCTACGGCCTTCGCTGACTCAAATTTCTGAGCGGGGGTCGCGGTTGCTATCTGTAGGTACCTTCACGAATCCGAATGATCTAATCTGCTACTAGGCTCATTGAAAATACACGCACCGTTTTATAAGTGTTTTCTAGCCCTGCCTGTCCTACATCAGTATAACGAAACTACCGTTGCCCAGTTGGTCCACGTGAAGATGCTCGGTATGGGACACAAATTTAGGATGTGAAAAAAGGTAAATAGCCTATTCAAATGTGAGGTATTGACATGAGCATTTGTAATGACAATTAGTGTGTCTGATGACCCACATAGAGAAAGAACATGTCGACTAACAGTTGAAAAACTGTGACCATCTAAGTTGTCTGGATGGTAATTTAACTCCACAACAAATATCTGATGTCAGCAATTCAGTCTGAATTGTGTAGACAGGAATGGCAGTCTAAACGATCTAAAACATCGTAATCACCTGTAGGGACGGACGGAGCAATGATTCGCACGTATGAGAATTTTTTAGGTGAAAATTCGATTTGGCAGGATAAGATACCTTTAATTATTAAAATTTTTACTGTACCTATCAGTACCGAAGATTTTTTTCTCCCTTGTTCGTAATGTAAAAGAGGTCTGTGTGTTGCTGTTTCTGCAAATTAACTTAAGTTTCTGTTCAATGACTAAAAACGCCAAATTTCTCATTATAACATGATAATTTTCTTTCATTTTACCCTATCTGGTCAAAAACACTAAATCAATATATATAATAAATGATTTCTGGAATCAGTTATTCCCCCTTTACAAAATTAGATATTTTTAAGAAATCGAAGTAAATGACATTGATTTGGACTTTAAAATGCTGTTGAACAAGGATATAATGCCTTAAATATACATTTACTTATTGGGCGTTACTACTTTAAAAATGTCTGCACTAAGGAACAGGTGCGTCTCTTCCCATACGCCTATACACATCAGGAATAGACGGTAGAATAAAATATAAACGGGTCTAACCGAAGTAACACGACCTTTTCACTTGAGTTGACTTTCGACGAACAAATTTGAGTCTTTTATCAATGGTCTTATTCGGTTGTTTTATCTGTCTATAGTAACAGGGATTCTGTTTTAATTCAAAATGTTTAAACGACTTTATGCATTGTAATCTGAGCTCTTACGTATTGGCGTTTTATGAGATATCAGCTGGATTCGTTCTTTCACATAATAAATTTGTTCGTTAACTGCTTTGTGTACTAACGGGCTGTCGGCTCCAAAAGTTTAAGGCAAACAGACCTGGGGCGGGTTTTAGATCAAGTGAAAGGTTCATTCGAACCCGAAGTCTTAAAAAAAAAATCGGACTAGATTTTAATTTGTTATGAAAGAAAAAAAAATGCAAAAGAAAAATATAAAAGAAAAAAGCAACGTAGCTTTCGTTTGTGGATATCATGAGTGAACTTCATCTCCAAAGTGTGCTGACACTGCTGAGCAATATGATTTTTCTTTTTAGCTGTGAATAACGTGAAACAGGACAATAGCTGCCATGCATGAAGACAGGTCGGGGAGGGACTCCGATTTAAAGCTCCCTGCAATAAACCGCAGCGTGCAGTTTCTGGTAGAAGCTGATGCCCCACGCAGGTCACAAAGAGTTCGGAAGAGAAGGTAAGTCTGTGGCAGAACTCCAAAGAGTGTTTATTATTATTTTTTACTGATTTCAACTATTATATTTCAGCTGCTGACAAGTATACAGATGAAATACTCTCTGACCACAGAGTGCGCTAGTAGTCTGTTACAGAAATGTTGAATGGCTCACACTGTAATTTTGTGTACTATTTTAGGAGTCCCTGATACCAGAGGGTACAAATGAGATACTTTTTCTGCAATTCCTTATTATTTAGAGTTCTTGGCAGGCACGAGGTAACTACATAAAATTAACGCCCTTTATGAGCCAGTTTGCTTTAAGGCTAATTGATCTTGTTAACAATCCCATCATTTATTGAGCCTAGCGACGGTACGACAAACCAACTCACGCCTATTGCCATGCATTTCTGGAAATATTTTTGGGAAAAACGAAGGCTTGATTAAAATGTTTTCGTGGGATTATATTGAAAATAGGAAAACTGGATGTCGTCATTCTGATTAAAATTCTTTAATTTACAAGTGGCAACATTTTAGTAAAATTGCATGCCAAAATAAGATATGCTTCAAAAATATATTAATAGTGCATAAAAGCGTGCACTGATATGCACTTATATGCAGATTCTTTCAACAGAAAAAAATCATGACTGCGCCAGGACATAGATCACAAGATAAAAAAAAATTCATTGTGATTGAGATTAACACCACAAATATAGACGATAACTCTGTGTATCATTGCCTCGCTAATATCTGTCCTTCAGTCCATGATGGGGATGTTTGCGGGACTGTAAGTTATCTCTATGCTTACATACCACGATGGAAGTTTACGCATGAGATAAAGAAAGTTTAATAGTCATAGGTCGACTCTAATAAAATCAAAAGAATGAGAAATGAGCGATTTTAGCAGATAGAAGACAAATAGGTCCTAAATTAACTATACAGTTTTCGGGATGGAATATTTTCAAACTGATTATGTAAACGTCTACTAGCATTTCAGCTGTATTATAGCCTTGTTGCCGTAGACAATGTATGATTAATTGATTGGGATATTGATCCAATTAAAATTATATGACATTGTTATCGGTGCTTCTTAATTTTACATACACCCATACAGTCATATTGGACTGTTTCCCCACAAACTGACTTTTCATTTTGTAGTGAAAGACAAACATGAATCTCCTATCAAAAATCAATAATCGGTTGATTCATGATAGATCGTGCACTATAATCTACTGTTGACATTCCAATGATAAAATCTGGCAACCCGGACAGCGTGCCAATTTAAACTTTGAACAAGTCATGCAATCACGCGTCTTTCAAAATGTTCAGAATCGCACATATCACTAGATTTTGTTTCAAGTCAAATATGCATTTTATTTTTCAATTGTCTCACATGAAATGCTCAATTCATCATCCCATTGATTATCATATTTTAAATCTTATTTTTTTAAGTCTAGGCCGCGATGTTTGTAAATTTTTTAACATCTCCCGCCCTGGCGTCTCGACTAAGGTTTGGTAACCTGGCATTTCCTAGCATTACCATCGTTTCTTTTAAACATGTATGTGTCCTCAAAATTTAACCTTCAACAATGTCACAGAAGCTGCTATGGTTATACCTTTTATGTAATTGCATCAGTTGCTCAACTCAACCGACACAATCCTTTTACTGCATTTTTGCCAAGAGATTTCGGATGTATTTTGTTTTTAATCTACTGGTAAGTGCACAGCATACATCCCGGATAAATTCCCAACATATTTCTGATTCTTTTAAGATATTACTCGAGTAATTATTATTAGGTTGCACTGGCATCAAAATGCGGCAGGGAATCTTGAAAGTATTTGTTGGTTTCTCGATCTGAAGCATCAGGATAAAATGTGTAAATTATCATGCCAAATTATATATCTTTTATGGTAAGGTTTGTTGTATTTTCACCTGAAAAAAAAAAACATTATTACTTTAACCAGTCATCTATTTTATGAATTGTCAGGCTATAATTTTGCATATCTCAGTTTTGAGTGTATAATGAATAGCCAGAGGGCGCTGTGCATGGACATCAACATCTGCCAGTCTTTAGAAACTTGATACATCTTCCTGAAGACCGCAGTTTCCACTATACGGTAATCCTCTTAACTTACCACTAAACAAAATACAAAGTTGAGAAATACATAAGAATCGTTTGCAAAATGCTTCCGATACATAATCGTATGTAAGTAAGCGGGCCAGATGGCTTTCATTTATTCTGCTTATATAGCCGGTAAAATAGGGTGATTAACTAACATTGCACGTTTGCGCTAAACGCCAGAACATTTTCTTGAACCAAATGTAAACTGAAGGTCATTAAAGGGATTAAGCCTTGGAGCGCGGGTGTTCAGAAGCCATTTTAGTACCAGTTTATAAACTCAAGTATTCTCACGGGTGCTTTTGTGGGCAAATATCTCGGGAGGACTAGCTGCTGGTATTTGTGGTGGTTTGGCTATTTGTGGTGAGTAGGAACTCCGTTCTGCGTAAGGCAATCCCTCAGAAGATGGCTAATATAGGCCAGTATCTGGGGCTTTTCTCCGCCCTGCTTGTGCTAGCATTTGCCCAGAAGCCAACCCGAGAGCAGATACCCGATGACTGTCCGATCTGTGATTTAAATCGCTGCCCTAAAGAGACGGATCTTTCAACTTGCGAGGCCGGTCTTGTGAAAGACCGCTGTCACTGCTGCAAGGTTTGTGGAAGGAAAGCCGGGGAGCTGTGCCANTATATTTTTAATCTACTGGTAAGTGCACAGCATACATCCCGGATAAATTCCCAACATATTTCTAATTCTTTTAAGATATTACTCGAGTAATTATTATTAGGTTACACTGGCATCAAATGCGGCAGGGAATCTTGAAAGTATTTGTTGGTTTCTCGATCTGAAGCATCAGGATAAAATGTGTAAATTATAATGCCAAATTATATATCTTTTATGGTTTGTTGTATTTTCACCTGAAAAAAAAACATTATTACTTTAACCAGTCATATATTTTATGAATTGTCAGGCTATAATTTTGCATATCTCAGTTTTGAGTGTATAATGAATAGCCAGAGGGCGCTGTGCATGGACATCAACATCTGCCAGTCTTTAGAAACTTGATACATCTTCCTGAAGACCGCAGTTTCCACTATACGGTAATCCTCTTAACTTAACACCAAACAAAATACAAAGTTGAGAAATATATAAGAATCGTCTGCAAAATGCTTCCGATACATAATCGTATGTAAGTAAGCGGGCCAGATGGCTTGCATTTATTCTGCTTATATAGTCGGTAAAATAGGGTGATTAACTAACATTGCACGTTTGCGCTAAACGCCAGAACATTTTCTTGAACCAAATGTAAACTGAAGGTCATTAAAGGGATTAAGCCTTGGAGCGCGGGTGTTCAGAAGCCATTTTAGTACCAGTTTATAAACTCAAGTATTCTCACGGGTGCTTTTGTGGGCAAATATCTCGGGAGGACTAGCTGCTGGTATTTGTGGTGGTTTGGCTATTTGTGGTGAGTAGGAACTCCGTTCTGCGTAAGGCAATCCCTCAGAAGATGGCTAATATAGGCCAGTATCTGGGGCTTTTCTCCGCCCTGCTTGTGCTAGCATTTGCCCAGAAGCCAACCCGAGAGCAGATACCCGATGACTGTCCGATCTGTGATTTAAATCGCTGCCCTAAAGAGACGGATCTTTCAACTTGCGAGGCCGGTCTTGTGAAAGACCGCTGTCACTGCTGCAAGGTTTGTGGAAGGAAAGCCGGGGAGCTGTGCGATATTTTTGGAGTCACCCGCCCAGATATCTACTTCGGTCACTGTGGGGATAATCTCAAATGCGTTCTCCGAGACGACATTTCTCCAGATGCCCCCAAGGAGGCTATCTGTATGTGCATGGAAGGCAACGAACACGTCTGTGGCTCTGACGGGGAGACCTACAAAACCATGTGTGATCTTTCTGCTGCTAAAAAGCAAACTGGCAAGGACATCAAAGTGTTTAGGAAGGGACCTTGTAAGAGTGGTAAGTAGGTTAAAAACAAAAACACCATTTAGTGCACCTTTTTGTTTGTGTTGATACTATGTTTTCATATAAGTTTCTGATGTATAATGGCATAGCAGTAACCGGTGTCTCATAGTTTACACCTACATGCGCTAACAAGTGCAAATGTAGCTTTTTTGCTTGGTTTTCATTTATATGTCTAGTAAAATGTAGCACGCCTTTACTCTCCTTTCAATTATTTTTTCTTTGCATGTAATATTGAATTTTATATTAACAGGGGATTTACGTTAAATAAAATCATAGCAGGTGTTTTCAATGTATTTTTCTAAAGATATGAAGGTTAAGTTTTTATGTGACGCCCCATTCCCTGGAATTTAGGTAAAGGGTATAAAAGATTTTCCATGTGAAGACCAGATTGTACACAGTTTATATACGGCCGTTTATTTTCATATCAACACGTCTGGTTCCATTAGTAGGATTCTGCCGAAAGGCAGTTATCCACATGCCCTGTCTGCCGCATACTACTGCTAAATTATTACCATACTGGATAGGAACTGAAAGGAATATCGACATATATTTTTTTTATTCTAAGCGGAAAAAAATCGCTTGAAGGCACTTCTTTTTCACTTACCTAAGTACACAGATCAATAAATTCCTATTTCATTCATATGCGTTTTCTATGAGCCGTAGGGCAGTATCTTCAAACTTTTGTGGTTGTAGCGTGCATCTAAATTCATTATCAAGAATATTCAACCAAAATACTACTCGAAATTCATCTCATGAGCATTTCACCATTAGTTTAATTATAATTCTCAAAATAGACAGGTTCAAATAATCAGTCAGTTATATAATCTACAAACACAGACACCCCTCTCCTATTTGGTCATTCAACCACGGGAATAGGGAAATTATATACTGGCCGTTTTCAGCAGCTGCCAGGGGCCCTAGCACGAGCACAGCTTTATAACCCTCCTGACACGGACTTGTGGAATTCCTGTAGATATGTGCAAAAATATTGAAAATGTATGAAAGCGTGTCTTCAAGCAGACTTAGCACGTGTATGAAGAAAGGATGAGGTGCTCAAATCTCTTTTGAGAAGGCCACCTTCTATCATTATTGTAGTAACGCACCAACTTCTGACTCTCGTTTTTCTCAAAATGTCATCTGCATGATTCGAATGATATTTGCATGTCAAAAAAGCATCGAAGAATCATTGAGACATTCGTATAAATAGAACTTTGTTTCTAAATGCATCAGCATACCACATGTCCGATCTCAGATTCCAGTTTGCATAACTACGTGTTATTTATTTTTATCTATAGCTGTTAAAATGTAAGCATTCTGTTATCCGGATTAGGTAACATGCTGTGCTATTAACCTTTAGCAATAGGTTTGATAATCCTAAAATATTCAAACGCAATACTTCAGTTTGTCAATGCAAAAACTGAAAAGACTGAAAATGATCTAGCCGCTCTGCTTCACCGCACTACAAAAAGTGACCAAACCCAAAGATTAATCGGTTTGATAGTTGTACGCATTTACTATTTTCATACAAATACCAGGAACGACAAAATATGTAACAGGTAAACAGAACTTGGCTGACGGTCGAAAGCTGGTATGCACTGTATGTTCTGGTACCTGAACCTTTTTGACTGAAGTAAGCTGATGTTTCACCTCATGTTGTGCGTACAATGTATATGGTATAGCATAGAGATGGTAGCAAAGGGATGATGGATCTTTCATGAAAAGTGCTAGTTAACAAGAGTCTGTTATTGGTAGGTTTTAATTCAGTGTTGCTGTATCTGCTGTATAAACGTAGTGTTCTAAATCACAAGCCTTATACGCGAAAGTTATCACATATTGCAGCTGCTGTCGGTGCGTAAGAATATAGAACATTTAATTTGTACATTTCTCCCGACCCATCTTATTTTTAAGGACAATCCCCGATAAAGTATGATTTTCTCTAGGTCTGTCTGACTTTCAGTGTGCATGTTTTTCTCATCAAATTAAGCTACATGAGACATCACTTATTAGCTAGCATAAGAACCGTTGCTATGTGTCGTCGCCATAAAGCTGACGATAATGTCCATTGTTTCCAAAGGTTTGTATCTGCAACTGCTATTTATCTTTTCTCTGGTGTATGTGTTTCCCAGATGGCCTAGGCTTTAATAGATTTCTTGGTGGGGTCTGGTATACTGCCTTGGTTGGGTATTTGGTTTGTATGCTGCCTTGACAGATTGCATGGTGTTCACAACTGCGCAAGGCTGAGCAGGAATTACGGACCACCCTGAATTTCACACTTAATCTTATCCTTGATCTTGCATTTAGCAAGTAACTCCCAAAAGACTGAGTTTCAGAGTCGACGGGGGCGGGTTCTTCCATTGTTTCACATTTGGAGGTTTAAAATGAAGAAAGTAGCAGACATCGGACCAAACTAGACTTGAGGCTCATTGCCCATCAAATAACCATTTATTGGTCGTCTGAGCAAGAGACATTGGGATGAATGAGTTTCAGATCTTTTATTTTCTATCCAACTTACTTAATCATTATATTTTAGTCCACAATTATCATTTTTCTGCACTCCTATGTTGATGAATTTAATTTTGTTTGTTTGATTTTTGTGTTAATTTTATTTTTTAGCCCCGAGAATAGATTCTCCCCCAAGCCACACTTTAGGCAAACTGCATAAGAATGTGGTGCTGGCGTGTGAGGTGTCTGGATTCCCAGTGCCCACAGTGGAGTGGACTTGGAAAAGAGTGGACAACAAGACGTTCGTTTTACCCAGTAAGTACCACTACATGTAGCATACATATAAATGCCATTATTCTCACCTCGTTTCCGACGAATTGCAACATTTTCTTGAGGTCGAAAATGAGGTATCACCTTAGAAAATAACCTGCCGGTTTATGACTGCTCCAGATTAGTGGCATTAAGTGCCTGACATAATTTTAGACCTTTCAGATAAAGAAAGGTTCCACTCGAGCCAAGCAGAATTGGGTGGAAAGGATGTAGAATTAACTATTCAAACACTGTAAATGACGTAATGTATGTTTTGAATCATTCAAACAGCGGTATAATTGAGGTGCCCTTTGTGCCAAATTGTTGACAAATGATATAAATTTTGTCCTTCATCTATATATTATCTTTATATTTGTTTATATCGTCGTCATATTAGTAATGGGAAAGGTTAACCAAGGCGAGACGGCCACTTCCTGCACAAAATACCAGTCTACTTCATCAATCACACTGGCTCGTAAAGCTCGTAGGCAGCAAAAGAAATCGTTATTAAAGTTGGCAAGGGCCACAAGGTTATTCTTTATAAAACCCCACTTCCCTTAAACGCTCACGATCCTGTGAAAATACTGATTCACAGGAAGGTGGGGTTGTTGGCGAATGTGTCAAAATTACATTGGTGCTCATTAGTCATGCTTGTTTTGCTATATTATCGTATTCTGAAGAAAGACAAATTGTTAAGGTCTGTGCAAGTACGCCCTGAATTACATGGCGAAAGATTTAAGGCCTCATGCACAACAGTATGTGGCAATTGGCAGTTTACGACACGATTCCTTTTACACTGCCAATACTAATATACAGTGCTCTCTGCTCACTCTAATCCGTTACACGTTTTCTCTTTGCACAGGTTGAATAAAAAACAAAAACACATCCAGTCTTCAAGTTCTGCTCAAACATTAATTGTTTTAACTTTTTTGAAAACATAGCTATTTTCCATCTGGCTTTGGATCTGTTATACCTGTGCAATTAAATGCCGGTCTCATTGCTTATATCTTTTGGGCGCACGGTGCTAAGAGAGATATCATTGCTCGCCTGATATATATAACATATTAATAAATTTCGTTTGATGACATGTTTTAGATCCAAACTAGTTTCAGCATTTTATCTGCGTCTGTAAGCTCGTTGCTAAAACGTGGGTTGTTTACGAACTGGTTGCATCCAAGCGGTCCTAAACATCTCCAAGCTTGGAAAATGACCCGCCCTAACACTGTTCGATTAGGTTAACTGTGCATGTTCTGAAAAAAAAGAGAATCTTGTGATCAAGTTTGGGCTGTGCTTGGGTTGATAATTGGGGAAATACAGCCTGTGAGTCATGTGCTCTGAATCAAAGCCATTTCCGTGAATGGATAACAACAACAACAAAGCCTAGCCAAGTATACAGTGACAAACAAGTATTTCATGGGCATTTTCTTTCACTGGCTTGTCAAAAAAGTATGGCTCCTTTTAAGCACTTAAGCACTGACAAATCATTTTAACTAATTTATGTAGACTTGTGTATAAAATAATACGGTTAGTGGCAACCACGCAATTGTCGCTTTACAGTAATTAATACATATTTGGGTTTTTATTTTCAGCATAGGTTGCTTCTCTGAATGACAGGGAATTCTTTTAAATCACAAACTAGACACTTAAAATTTGCGACACAGAAGAAATGGATTATGCTTGGGTCGATGTTACTAACGCCCCCTAAGGCCAAGTAATCCACTAGATTGATGATGATAATCGTTCATCGACCTGAACACCGATATCTTGCATTTCAGCAGCCACTGCACATTTTCCTCTTTTAATTATTGTCATTTTTCATCGTGGGTATAGGCCCTATCAGTAATTGCTGCATAAATTCATTATAATCATGTGTCTTGTGGGTTTATATGTATTTTCGAGACATGTGCCATAAAATGATATAAGCAACTTAATTTGGGACTTTGCTTCCAACGAAACAGCTCATGTTATTTAGTCCCAGTCAAACAGGACGGTTTGAGATTAGGACGACTACGCCAAGCCCCATTGGAAGATGAGGATAGGAGTAAAATTTTAAACAGGGCTTGGACAAAAAAAGGTTGAATTCGTCCAAGACCAGGTAAGAACATTTCTTGGCACGGTGCCAGCATAATGGGAAATGCTTAGTTTCATACTGCACGCAGGACGTCGAGAACGTGTTCAACAAGTTATCTGCCATAATGCTTGTGATCCCGACAATTATCGAGAATGTACATGTTTTTTTTCCAGGAAACGATCATAAGATCTCGATCAGTTCTCGTGGCGGGCCCGAGAAGTACCAGGTGACTGGATGGGTGCAAATCATGGAGCTCGCCAAGCACCACGAGGGCGACTATAGCTGCGTGGCACAGAATAAATACGGCGTGGTTCAGCAAGCCGCTAGAGTCAAAGTCGGTAAGTCGGGAGTTGGGATATTGATTTTTTTTCCAGTTGTGGTTGGGGGGGGATTTCATGTTGCAAAAAATCCTACTGCTTTTTATTTTTGGTACATATCCCCAAATGCTCATTGTCAACCTTACATGTATTCAAAACGTCTTAACCAAACGCGAGCTAAGATAGATATTTGAATTTCAATCAGTCCGCTTTAAATTCTTGATCATCCCCCACTACTATGAACCTCTATGCTCGTAATTTGGGATTTTCATTACGAACATCACTTCAAATATTTTAGTTATGGGAAATTTAAGTCGAACAAGAAAATGTCATATTCGCAACAGAATAACTTAATTTCATACAAATGGCATATGTGCTTTTTAACGCTTCAAAGTACTCTTAGTTCTCTAATTTTATCTATCCGAGGGTGATAACACTGATTGTGATTGATGTTGTACATTGTGGTAGAGGTGACGTTTGTTGTGCTATAAAACACAATGGACACATGCATTCTATATCTTTTTTCAGATACTAAGGATGAGGAATTGTAAAAGAAAAAAAATCAGAAAACAGTAAGAAGAGACTGAATGAATGGTATTCTTTTATCAGCTGATAAGTTACATCTTCTAGAAAGTTAGAAAAAGATGTTAACCGTTTTGCTGGATACGAGGCCTTTTTAACATGGAGATTGACGGTACCTTCGGCCATTGGTGATCAATAATATCGGAAGCACTATAATTATAGTAACTTGCTTCACGGAAACTAGTTACAAATTATCTTAAATCCGAGGCTTGTCATCATGAAGTTGTTTTTTTATCAAAAATGTTTTGTAATTTTTATCCATCTAAAATACTTACAGTAACATTTTACTTAGATTCCATCAATTTTTAGCTCAACGTGTGTGTAGAACATTAGTGCCTTTAGATATTGAAACATTTAAATATGGTGATTTATATATGATTATGAGATGACATTTTTAATTATTATATAGTACTATTTTATTCATATTTTTATCACAACAGTGATTTACCAGACTAGCACTGCCAGCTGTAGTTAATGGTTATAAGCATTGTTCGTATTCGAATGTATTAGAATTGCAATGAATAAATAAATTAACTCAGTTTTAAGGCTCGTGATCACGTCTGTTTCTTTTTCTCTTTTTCTATTTCAGTAAGTTACTTATTTTCTGCGTCTGCTTTTTGAGGTTTCTACATGTATTTCTATGTAAGAAATCTATGTGCATCAAAATTAAGTAAGAATGATATTTAAAAATAAATTAGAATTTGGAAGTTTATAGGCCCATTTTCCAGTACCTGTTGCGAGATGTCTGTGAATACCTGGGTATAGGCGAGACACTTGACTAGGAGTTCTAGTCAAGTTCTTACACACATACCAAATAATGGCTAGTTTCCTCAGCCACTTTGCGTTCAATGAAATGAGGCTGTTGCCTCAAGTTATACCAATTCCGCATGGGACTTTTAAGGGTCACTGTATCAAAGTTGAAAATGCAATGTAGCCTATCAGACGTGCGGATCAATATTTTTGTGCATGGCAAAAAAAAAGTAAATCATAATACTTAGTGTATCTATTGTAGAAGTGACAGCTGATTGGAGCTCTGTACTTATAAAGCACTCTTGATCATTCACCACTGGTTGCCGGGCTCTTGCTCTGTATTTGATTTTTTTTTTGCAAGTTGTCAATATCAGGTCGTCGCAATGGAGGATTACTCCTGTCAATTCATCACTATATTCACAATCCCGCTGATAGCCTCACCAGATACCTTAAAGACACTTCAAACAAACAAAGACATATCAAAATGCTGATAACTCATCCATCTCCCATCTATGCACCACAGGAGAAATTTTTCTTGTCATCTTATCATTTATAACAGTCTTGTAACGGTCTCCTCTTTGAATATGGATTAGATTTTAGTGCAATTATAACAGAATCGGCCGCAGGAATGTGATGCTGGCATATTCATTTTGATGCGCGATTAGTGTATACGTATCCTTAATGCTTGGGGATTAATGTATCAAATATCATGGAATAGAAGAAAAGCTTTTCTTCTTCAATCTTTGCAAGAAAAAAAGCGTTCACGGAGTCTCCTATTTACAACTCTAGGCACGTTTTGTAATTTACAGGATCTAAATTTTTTTGGTGTATTTCATTAATTACTTGTTTGAGTGTGACATATTTATAGAAATCGGTGTCGCATGTTTCCCTGTTATTTTCATCACCAAGTTACAAGACACGCCACCAAATGTACACACGAACAACGACATGGTTTTTTATTCTATTTTGAGCTTTCAGGCTTTTAATTCTCCTCGACATTTTCAATAGACTGCCTTCTTGCATTACATGTCGCATTAAGCAGCCCGAAACTAGTATTTTGTCTATTGCCATAGAAAAGTCTGCAGTGGAACAGTCGCATGTTGTCTGAGAATGCTGCACCCTTTTCGATGCATTCGGCTCCCTAAATCTTACTGCTCCATTAGCACGCCGTATTTAGGGTCGTTTCAAACACGAAAAATTATACCATATGTAGAATCACACGATGACGTAGACGTTTGTAAAAAGACGTAAGTCACACATATCTTGCCATGTGTGAACACTAGAACAGTTGCATCTAAATGTTTCCAGTCTGTGGACAATGATAACATAGCAAGGTGGATATTGATATTGATAACAGCTTGTGTTGACTTAGAGAGGGATAGCCTTTCCTCAGGTTAATCAAGCACCGCCTATGTTTGTCTTTCTATGTCTACATAGCTGTACCATCACCGTTACCATAAGGGTGTCACGCAAAGAATCTCGCTCTGGTCACCCAGCGACCAACCCCAAAACAATATTTAATTTAATTACACCGGTAAAATGGTCAAATGTTATTTTAATATTGTTAGTGATCTGGTCAATTTGTTGTCGTAGCCATCAGCGCGAAAGTAATACCTTGCACTATCGTGGTCAACACTGAAGGTGAGATTATAGGATTTGCAATTCTTATGGGATACAGTTTGTCGAGGCACATTTGTCATGTTCATTGGCTGTCATGCAAAAGACGACTATCCATTTAACGCTATCCATATTTATTGAGTAACTTATTATTTAGCAGCAACTCCCAACGGATGGTGGATGTTATACATAGGATGCCTGAAAAGCCGTGGGTTGAATTAGCAACATGCTGCTATCTCTTTATGCGAAGGCACGTATCTTATTTAGTCAAAAACTGTGCCAGCGTTCGTCGCAACCGATAAATAACTACTTTGTTGATTTCAACCTGACCTAAAATTGGAAATTTCGAAACTAGACAGTTGGAAGGTAGGATAACAACGAATTGACAGAACTGACAGCAGACATCTAGAAAGCACAGATTTAAAAACTCATCTTGGCGCGTACCAAAACACAAGCATAAGAAGAACCATTCGGAATAACAGACGGCGATCAAACCTTCAAGAAGAAATCTCTTATAAAGAAGGATGGGACATAAATATCATTCCACATAAGAATACCTTTAAAGTTGTAAAGTAATTGTGTGGATTCTGTAGCATGTAAGGAACTTTTTTTGACGGCAGAATGAGGTTACGTTCGGAGTCCCGCCGCCCTAAGACACAGGAAACTTTGCCATTTTTGTCTAGGGTGTATTCACAAACTGTTGTCGTTGATTCCACCTCTGAGAGGGTCCCAGTCCTTCCTAAGACGCTGGCTAGCAGTTTTGTATCTGGAAGAGTGTTAACACAGTCTAGGTAATGATATGTAATGATTAATTGTTGCGTTCATCTCTCTCTCTCTCTCTCTCTCTCTCTCTCTCTCTCTGTGTGTGTGTGTGTTTTAGTGTGTACGGTTGTGAATACATGCTCAGGGAAAAATGTCATACATTGTCTGAATTTAATCAATATTTTAATCAAACATTGTCTTATCAATCCCCCTTTATCAAAACAGGTTTCGGTTGATTTCTACTCTGGAGGCATATACCCGAACGTTGTTATATTTGTGTCAGGTTACCTTGTTGTTGATTTTTACATCACAGACAAGCACAAAATTCGAATTGTGCCGTATATGTTATATTTAAGCGATGTCTTGTCGTATACTTTATTATTATTTTTTTTTTTAACGTTGCCCATTTATTGAGAGTAGGATCAAAATCGTCTACTCGTAGCGATGTCATTGTATATGGAATTGCTGTAGGTGAGTTATCCAAATTAGTCGAGCACACTCGTTAAGCCCCTGCATTTGCCTTTGAGGCTTCTCTGTTTGCCATAAGATTATTCGTCTTAACTTTGATTACGCGGATTGTGCAAATACAAAACGAACTAAAATACTGCTTAGGATAAATTTCGTTTACTTAAAACTGGAACTGGACTGTTAGTGCAAAACCTCTTCATATGACCTCTGGTAGTAATAATCCACCTGTTTTGTTGTTTCTTTTCAATTTTCAACGCCTTCAAAGTAGTTTCTTGCAATGATGTAACTCGTTAAATAAATACTTAGTGTGTTGCATAGTATTATTATTTGCATTCTACTTGACCAAGGGCTGATTTATTATATTAATAATCTTAAATTTATTTACCGTCTCATATTTGCATTGCGTTTTGTATTTTTATTATACGAAATATAAACACGTCATGTTAAAGGAGTGCAAAATAAAGAAACGTGAGGACACATCTTTTTGGGGATTGGGTGTGGAAATACTTTATTTACATGTTAGCGTGTCCTAAGAAGCGAGGCGTTCTCTTTTTATCTTTTTAAACAGATGTTAAACGGGAAAAACCAGCCAAGCAAAATTTATCGCCTACAATAAAAAACATCAACCTGAAATTCAGTGTACAGACATTCTTTGTGCAAGACTCCCCCCCCCCTTATTTCGAACTACCTGAACTGCTTTTAAGCTCATACGGTTAATTTAACACCAGATGTGTACAGCTACATAAATAATAGCATTGGGTAGGTGTGCGTCTGGAGGGCTCACGTTTCATACAGGTGGTTTGTTGATGGGTCGTGGACTAGACTACGATCCTCCTAATGCCCCGTTACTAAGGAGCACTGTCCCGCACAAATTTTGAGTCAGGTAATGGCTGCGCATGATGGGTGACATTCGTATAAATTAATGTAAAACAATTTGAGATCCAATCAAAAATTACCGAAGATATCTACGCAGCAAAACGGTATTAAATATTAGATGCAATGAGACAATGGAGAATTTAAAATGGCAGATAAGGAAGGGACTAAATTACCAACAATAAGGAACAAAGTTACTTTTTTGATCCACGAGTCTGATGGGGAATCGGATGAGGAGACGGAATCTTTGGTGAAAAAGCAAAACGAAAAGAATCGGTGGGTATTGAGTGAAACTTGTTTTTGGGACAATATAATTACATGATTTGAACGCTAACTATAAGAGATTTTATAGGCAATATTTACATTAAGGAGTTGAGCTGACTGCACTTCATGCAATAAAGCAAGGGAAGAGATAAAGGAGCGGACGAGAGATGCACAGACAGACAGACAGACAGACAGACAAACAAACAGACAGTGTAAATGGTTACTTGTCCTGCATATCTTTGTTGTAAATGGATTTTAAAGGTACTCGCCCCTGTCACAGTTCTGATGGCATTACAGGTAGCAGTTTTTCTTAATGAAAATATGTAAGGTAATGTCCTTATGATATATCTGTGTGATAGAATTTTCTTAAAGGCATATCAACTCTTTACTTTGGCGGACAAAGTGCCCTACACCGGATTAGCCTGGGGTAAACGACGATTTTTTTTCATAATTACCAATGGTTAATGAATCCGTTCCGACATTTAAACCTCGTCGATTGTTTTTTTTAAATAAAATGTTTTTGGTAATTATCTCTTAAAAGATTGTGACGGAGGGTAGCCATCATTGAAGGTCCAATGGTCCGATGGCTAGCACAGATTTCAGAATAATTGCGATAACTGCCGTTTTGGTGGTAAAATGAAATTTATTATATTTCTGTGTGTTATTTAGATTGCATTTATTGTGTAGTTTTGAATTTCATATAAAGAGTAGTTATCCTTTTAATTTTTTACATACATAGTTGACACTATAATATCCATATTAAGATTTGTTAAAAAATGTAGGTACCCATGTTAGTTTTGTTGCTATGGTGATTTGAACTGTGGTCTTGATTCCTATATAGAGCCTTATGGGCAATTTTACTGCTTTTGCATATTTTTGCAATTTTCCTCATAGATGAAGTGTGGTCATGGGCCATATTGGCTACACATAGACTATGCAAATGGCAGACAGAGAAAAATGCGATAAAGTAACTGGTGTGATTGAAATGCGAGTCGTTTGTTTTTGAATGTGTTGTAACCTAAAATTCACTTAAACAGTATAATAATCGCTTGAAATTTTGAACGCCCATTTTATGGTAACACCTTGGTAAAAACCTTTATTCATTTATTTCCCGGATGTTTAACGTTGTTGTTTTAATTAATAGTAGTCCTTGCTATTTATAAAAGTTGCAGCTGTAAGGACTAGATGATATTGTTGAGATAAGTCAGATTTCACGTAATAAATTAATGGCCTTTCATAGATATTATCATGAAAGGTTCAATGAAACGTTGCCGAAGTGGCACAAATGATGTACAAAGAGGCATGCCTGAACTTAATTGAAAAAGATTCTTACCGTGTCAGCTGCTCTGCGCACCCATTAAAAAGCTAGTTTTCCTCGGCGGTGTTTGAGACGGATTACTGTCCTAAAGTTGACTTTGACAAATACAACCGACAGCTTGAACTAGGCATACTAATCTCGTGCCTTTCACCACCTTTACCTAGGAGATCAAAAACATCTTCAAATTACACTTCAACTATATGTGGCTGAATAGGTTAAAGTACTGTTTGTTCACAACTGATTTTCATTGGAAGTTGTTTGAACACTTCTGCGTGATAATATTAATCAAAATTGATTTGAGGACACCTGCAAATATGTTGGTGTAAAACTTAAGAATAATTTCTAGCATTAATTCGTCCTGCAACAATACTATGTCCAAATTCAAATTCATATATATATGATACATTTGACAAGAATAAGGGAAAATAATGAATCACCACATGTTTAGTTGATTATAAGCAATCTACCATGTTTTTATACTTTATACTTTTTTATACTTGGAATATTTAAAAACAAAGTCGATATAAGTATCTATTGGACTTAATATTTCATATTTTTAAATATTTTAATTTTTCAAAATAGTAAATAGTTACCAGATATATAGCAGGATTTGCTTCACGACCACCGGGGCTATAGAGGGATAAAGATACATGTACATGTATGGTAGTTGCCAAGGAATGGATTATAGTAAAAAGACAAACTGAGATGGCTGTGTAGAACAACGATAAAATAACCTTTTATAAGAAATTACAGGAGAAAACTCCGTAATTTTGGATTGCAGCATCTCGTGATTAGGTTGTGATTTTAGCACTTTTTAACATGGATATGATAAATGCTATTGAGTCAGTACAAAGACAGTATATATATATATATATATATATATATATATATATATATATATATATATATATATATTATTTGAATCTTTGATGAATTATGTGGATAATAACGATGATGCGTTTTTTTATCTACCCGGTTTCGTTTACCGAGACGTCAAAATGTCAGCTAATCTCTAGGCAATCATTAAGTTTTGCTTTTTATGGATCCATAGATCAGAGCTGTATTACCTTAACTGTACTCGTAACATGCGTTTTATGGACATGCAGACAAAAGTTGAGTAAATAATCACGTACATAAGCTAAGAAAAAAGTTATGGTAAATTCCATAACATTATTTTTCTTATGGTGTAAAACGATCGTCTTCCTTTGTGGTTTTTATTGGCCTAGAGCTTGGGCAGAAGGAAGAGGTTCTTAGTTTATTTACAACAATGACGTACTTGGTAAACATTGCATTGGATTCACGTTTTACGGTCAGATTGACAAGCATATAGTTGTTATTTATGATCAAACCATTGTTCTGTAAGCGACCGGAGTATTGTAGAAAATACATTAGAAGACTCAAAGATATTATTTTGTTAGAAAACATGCTTTGAGGGTTAAATGTTCAATTGTTAAGCACTAACGGACAATGTGTACTGAATGGACAATGATCTTGGTAGTCTATTTTTAACAAATCAAACAGAAGTTTAGAATTTTAGGAGTAAGTTTACATACTTTCTTTATAGAGAATAGTACTCGTATCTCACAGGCATATTGCACTCCTTTTAAGTAGGCAAAATGAAATTAAAGACCGTACTAAAAGTTCAGCTCTAACAGGAAGAGATGCCACTAATGCGTAGAATCATTCAATCGACTAAGACAAAAGATAAAGAGTGGATTCATAAAAAAGGGTATATAAGTTTCAAGTCAATTGAGTGATGAACAGTTTTATTTGAAAATTGCACATAACGATAGTCACTGGACGATTTTTAAATATTTTTTTCTTAAACATGTTTTTCAGAAACTAACAATTCATTAATCTAAGATGAGAGTAATTTTGGTGTGCTTAACAATAATTTCTAATGAAAACAAGAATTGTGTCAATCATAGGTTTGCAAGGATGATGCATACCGATTAGCTGAGGGCACTTTCTAAGCGTTTTTGTTATTTTATGGTAAAGGCAATGGTAGTGAGCACAGCTAGTTAACCAGCAAGTTGTATGACTGCAAGGACACTGGTAGTTTTTGGTGTTTCATCTTTAAAAGTAAGAAAGAGAATAATTTGCTTT